CTATGAACAAAGAAACAGAAATTTTACACGTTAAAATATTGTATATGAGAATGGTTTCTGCCTATTAAGAAATCAAAACACTTGCAAACCCAGGTTAAGAGACACTCTAAATCTTAACAATAAGAGTTATAACACTAACCCACGAGGTTTGTGCATGAGCCATTTGCACTCTTTTTACGTAATAATCTCAAACAATCCTTCTCACTTGAGAGAGCACCTTGAAATGGACGACTACTAAAGATCAAATCCTTCACTGATTGCAATAAAGGGGGTCAAAATACAAGCCAGATTAGGCTATGACATTGTTGAATTAGGAGTCTTTCAAAACAGGGCTAGGTTATGCTTGACAGTGTGAAGAAGGCAGGGGTTACAAAACTTAAATCGATTAATAACAGGACAATGGTTTAACCAATTATCAATCCAAATGATGATTCCTAAATTGAAAATGAATAAAACAAATGTCAACAGAAATCAAATCACACTGTGCTCATATAATACATTCTCTATCATACACTCCATTGTGGAAGATAGCGCATGGTATCTCAGCCAAAACTCTATCTCAAATTTCAACAAAGCAATGACTACTCAATGCCCAAAAAAATAAAAATAAAAAATAAAAAAAAATAAAAATAAAAATAAAAAATAGAATACTAAGTATATACGTCTGAAGATGAAAAAGTAATAACAATTTTGATCTTCTTAACCACCAAAGTGAATCTTGTTCCTCAACAACTGAATACTTGTCACCGTCAAACCAACTCCCTGAAGATCAGAATTGTAACTCTCTTACTCCTAAATGAATGACTATCAAATATATTACGAACCAGAAGATCTACACATCACAAAAAGATGCAACACATATGCAGCATCAAACTTCAGAAAGGAGAAAGTATAATGATAGTTGTGTGGGCCAGGTGATCGTGGGCAGAAACAATAACCAAGACAGTAAGTTCTTTTTTTTTTTTTTTTTAAGAAGGTTGAGTAATCATATACTTTAATTCAAACAAAAATTAGCATGCAAATGGTATATCATACTAACAATAATAATTTTCACTAGAAATACATCACAATAACCAACGTTGATAGCAAGACGTAATACAAGAGAGTAGGGCAAAATGTATGAGCACTTGAGCTAAAGCATACAGAACAACAACAACAACATACTCATTGAAAATAAGATAACAAAAACCAGAGCAACCTGCTTGGCACACTAACCTCCAAAACCTTCATCATATAGTCATCAAAATTTCTCAGATTATCCTTCTGAGCTTCCTGGATGGATGAGACCATTACCATCTCATGTACCTGCAAGAAGAATTTAAGGAGCTAAATGATACAACCAACAAATCATGCTAGGAAGTATACAGCTACGCACAAATGTTGGACATAAAAACCTATGAATCTACATTTCTTAAACCAAAATGACTGTAGACAAAAATCCATTTTTATATTACAATGCCAACCAACCAAACAATAAATAAAGAAAATAACAGGACATAAACCTAATCCTGGAATTTCTTTAGGAAATGTTCAAACTTTCACTGTAAACCACAAAACAGGGAAGGAAAGTACCTGTTGGAGATACTCTTCGACACTAGTTGCTTCAGCTGGGAAAACATCCTCATAGGTGGTCTTCAAGATAAAGAAAGTAAACTGAGTCAAAATCATTCTACACACATAAAAAAAATAAACATAAAAATACAATAAAATAAGAGGGGTATTGCAAGAGGACACAGTGAAACTTCTAGATTTTCTAGACAAGTACAGCAACAATTCCATGATAGTGTAAAGAGCATTATACATCTACTATAAAGGAAGTGAACAGCAAAGATTAGTTCCCATACACCGAAACAATTCAATAGCATTTACCTTCAGTTCAAAAGACTTTAAATCCCTTGCAAGTTGCTCTGCATTAATCCCCTCACGAGCTAACAACCTATCAACAGGCAGCAAATTAAGTCCACAGCAATAGCCGATGCATATAAGGAAAGAGTAAAGGGGGGTAAATAAGAAACACCAATACACCATGATACCATTTTCTCAGTTTAGGAGTTTAACAGAGGAGGAAGCATTAAATAAAGGTTGATGCAGCAATATTCGATGAAGGGCATGTAGGCCTTGGAGTGTTCATCAGATCAGAGATAGGGGAGTTGCTAGCTGTTGGCGTCAGGAGGTATAGTGCAGTGTGGACAGTGGAGTGCCGATATGGCTGAAGTGCTAGCAACACGCTTTGGGCTGATAGTAACACAGAGGCTGGGGTATACTAACATCGTGCTAAAAAGTGATGCTCTGAGATTCTGCGCACTCTTTCCCCACAGTATTATTACCTTGGTGGAGTTTGTTAACTAAATTATAAAAGCTCCCCCCTCCGTCTCCCAAAAAATAAAAAAATTTAAAAGCAGAAACTTTTTCTCAAGATCAATTTTGTTTTGCAACTCATATGAAATCTAATATCTGGTAGAGCTAAGATCAGATTGCCTGTTCATAGACCTACTATCTTCATCACAGAATTATAATATATTCAGTTTATTAACTACAAAATTGACCCTCCTTAGACTCCTTATCCCTCCTAGAATTCCCAAAAAAGGCACCAAAACTATCTTCTCATCCCCCTTTTTAACCCTTAATCTATCATTACCCCTCCCTCTCTCCAAATCAAGACGGAAATTTTTGGCATGTATGAGTAAATCAGTAAATAAATCCCAGGAAAATCCCATAAAAAATATATACCCTTCTAAGTTGTAACCGGCCAATGATCCTTAGTTAGAGAATTGTAGAATACTAGCAGCCATCTAACTCAACATCTAAATTCAGTAGAGAAAGGTGGAATTCAATGACAGATACTATATTTCCTATAATTAATCTCCTTGCTCATTGAAAAAATCCCCGAGTTATGCTGTCAATTAATTACCTCAAACCAAACCAATTGCCTGTCCTCTATCCCCACAAACCCGCTTCCCCAAACCACAAACCCAATTACAGAAATTTGCGGACATTATATCATAGAATACGGTTGAATTAATAATTAACATAATACATAGATACCAATCAAATAAAAATCAAAATGCAAATGAAAAACAACAAGCAAAATGCAGTTCAATCACAAAAACATAAAATAAATAAGAAACGAAAAAAAGGCGGACCTGGTAGCAGCAATAGACTGAGAAGGAGCTTCATTTCTTAGGGTTTTAGCCTTGAGCTTCTTCGACAAGGCTTCCAATTGATCCAAATTCCTCTAAAATCAATACAAACATGAATAAAAGTTTACATTTCAATCATCAATTTAACCTAATTCAAAAATGCCGCAATACTTGAAACATCGACGATGAAATGAAGAGAGAGAAAAACCTGAAGAGGAGGAAACTGAGCGGAAGGAGCGGCTTGTTCGAGAAGCTTAGTGGAGGAATGAAGAAGGTCGGTCCAACCGCTCATGTCTGCTTCGTTCGCCATTGATTTCTCTCTCCTCGAACTCGGGCTTGAGCAGTAGGAGGAACTGTAGTAGTAGTAGTAGTGTGAGCAGAGAGAGTATGGAGGTTGAAGTAAGCCCTAGTAGGAGGAGAGGAAGGGGAGTAGTAATTTGTTCAAGGTTTATGTAATTCAGGGTTTTCAAATTTGGTTAAAGAAGCGCTTGTCATGTTATTTTCGAATAATGGCGAAAATGAGAAAATTCAAGTTTACAAGGCTCATTTACAAATTGTGGTTTTTTTGACGAAGAAAAAAACGCAAAATATTTGATCAACTTGTTTCGTCAATTAACAGGGTATCATCATTAAATTTTGGGCAATTTGGTAATAGCATTTATTGTGACTCAACATATCTGCCACACACGCACGTCTACGTGTATTTGCTGCAATTTTGGCCGTTATATGACTTATATCCTTAGCTACCCCATGTCTCATAAATGCAACTACCCCCTTTTAAGTATTCAATTTTTTTTTTTTTTGTAAATTGATGTATTGATATTACTTTGTTTTAATATGTTTTACCACTATGACCTCAAAAATGGGCATGGACAGTAGATTATGAATTTAAACCATTATGTTTTGACCCAAATCCCCATTTACTTTATATAGTTAGGAATAGTCAAAGGCCAATATGTTTTATGTTTAATGTGATTACCAATTTATTAATAATATTATTAATTTAATGCACCAGGTAGAAAAGCCAAACATGTACACGTACATGGTATTCAAATTTGTACGCTTATTAATTGTATCAAGTGTAACATGGTTCAATTATAACTTGTTTCAAGTGTAACATGTTTCAATTATAACTTGTTTCAATAATATATTATGTTTACCAATAAAAAATTGGGCCAAGGGCCACTCACATCTTATTAGTCAAATTAAAAAGTTCAAGTAGCAAAGGTTTTTAGCTCAACTTGCCAGAACAATGGATAAGAAGTGTGGATATTTGAATTTACGACACCAAAAAAGATGAACATGACATGTGGATGTAAATAAGACAAATCAAGGACATTAAAACTTGACGGTGACGCTCAACACTCTAACGGACATTATATGGGGGCACTCCTACTCAGCTGCTGAGTAATTGCCATCATTCAGATATGTGGATATGTGGATGTTTGCTGTTCACTTTATTTACAAAATCCATTTTGGATTGACAAGTTAAATTGATCAAAAAGATCAATGGGAGCGCCCTAAAAAAATAGTAGAAGAAATGACAAAGCTACATCAATAATTAGATACTGCATACTGGTACATACTAAGTGTCATATATGGCTGGTCATTGTGTGGCCGGGTTAATCGGTTAGGGGTTATTCGGTCAATCAGCGGTTTCTCGGTCAGTTAGGGATTACTCGGTCGGTCTTGGGTTACTTGATCAATGTTTTGGTGTGTGTCAGTCGACCACACGTTGTATTGTCAACCGGCAACACGGTGTGGCCACACAGAAAATGTGCTTGTATATATAATGGCAAAACTACCTATTTATTTATCTTAAGGGTGTAAACACCAATTCATGTATTTAAGTAGGGATGATTTTGAGCAATGTTTGATGGTATGCGGTTAAAGGCGGTGGTCGATGAGGGTTTGTTGAGGGCGGTGAGATGTGTGTGGAGGGCAGTGAAGTTGAAGGCGGTGATCGGTGGGGTGTGTTGAGGGTGGTGGGGTAGATTGCAGTGGCTAGTGGTGTATGTTAAGGGCGGTGAGGTTGATTATGGTAGTTGTCTAGGAAATTGGTGGATGGTGCTGCTGGTGGGGAATTGTGGATGAAGAAGAAGAGGAAGAATTTGGAAGTGAGCTTGAAATTGAAGGTAAGAAGAAGGTTGAAGAAGGTAAGAAGAATGGAGACAGAAAAAATCGGGGTGAGAGAGAGGGAAATCGAGAGAATAGAAGAAGAAAAAAAAAGGAAGGAAATAAAAAAAATGGGGTCCACGGTTGGAAACTTCACCGAAAACTTAAAAAATGTGGTAATATGAGCGGTTACTTAATTTAAGGAGTGGTAAAATAAAAATAAAAATTAAACGGGTGATTATTTCAAAAAGAGTGTATTTTACGGGTGGTAATTTAGAAATTATCTTTTTTTTTATTTTTTATTTTTTTTTCCAATTTTTTTAATAAAATAAAAATAAAAATTAAAGAGCAAGACAAACGCCCTTGAGCTTTGACTGCTGGAGTTGAGTTCTGGAAGAATCTGGAGAAGTAGTGGTAGTCGAGAATGCGGAACGTAAGAGCAATGCAAACGATTCTGAAGAATCGGGAAGCCGCTAAAGCCAAAGCCTTCGATTTACTCAAAATCTTGCAGTCTGAAATCACTCACGAACTCTCTTCTCCCTGCTTTCAAGTATTTCTACCCTCTCTTTCCTCAATTTTTCTTCAATTTTTTTTTTTAGATAATGCTATTTCTGTAATATGCCTCTTTCATTGGAAATTTGTGAACTAAAATTAAATGATTTTAGGGTTGTAGTTTATTAATGTACACCATACCTGAATTCTGATTGTTTTTGAGTAATTTGTGGGTTTTCTGCGAATATGTGATTGGAAATTTGGAATTGTGTTATAGTTTCGAAATTTTGAAACCCTGCTAATTATTTCGAGCGTTTTTTCCGTATTATTTGTCGCAAGGCAATGACCAGTAGGCTAAAATAAACCAAGTGCTTCTTTAAGTTGTTGAGGAGCCTAAAAAAATTGGAAATCGGAAAGTTGTTTGGTTGACAAAAACATGGTGCAAAGCCGCTTATGTAGCTCCTAAACTTCGCATGAGAATTTCGACTTTATAGGGATAAAATAAATCATACCCACTTTCGAAATGCAATTTTTTGGGAAGCATAACTTTGTTCATCTAGCAAAACAACCCCTCTATGTAGACATTATTTATTTATAAGGTTGAATTACGAGAATGAGAAACTCATATCCCATTTAATCTCTCCGTGTTGGAATAATAGGCTACATGTGAGTGATTAATGGTCGATGTATAAGAAATTGTGATATAATACCAGAACTACGACAAAAAGTACTCTGTAATTTGTAGTTAAGGTATCAATCGGTGTAATTTGAGAAGTTCGTGAATTAAATTACTGAAATTAGAGAGTAACCTATCTTGTTGTGAGACAACTGAATATAGAGACATGGTCTCTTTTTGAGGACAGGGGAGTATTGGTTGTGAAATGTTGGACATACAAGATTACAAGGTATAATGTCAAAGTGAGAAATTATGCATACCAAGATGGAAGCTGTTTGTTGTTGTCCTCTATGATTTAGTTGTCACCTGAGGTTAGAAAAATATATCAAGTTGGGTCCACTGTGGCACCGTCCAGTCATCCTCCTACCAATTTAGGAGTGATGATTGTTGAAATTTTAGAACCCTCAAGAGGGATATCATGAAAAAGATGTAACATCAAAGTCAACGCCTTTGAGACTGCTTGATTTGCACTCTAACTCAAGGGAAAACTATTGTCTATCTGTATCTAATTTTAAGCTGGAGAAAAATGCTAATTGGAAATGTGAATTTGATACAGCTGCTTAATTATAGACTTATGGATTTAGTACCATTTAAGGGAAGAACTTTAATAGGGTTTTAAAATGTACTTCCCACTTCCCAGCTGTGTGTTTTGCTACTTGCAGAGTTTATTGTGAGAAGCTTACTACAAGTTGCTTATGCATAGAATGCTTGAATTTTTTTGACAAATAATATTTACAAAAGCGAATAGCTGAATAATATTTACGGTATAATTGGATATATATCAGTTAGTTCAAAAACCTCTCTCTCTCTCTCTCTCTTTTTTTTTTTTTTTGATCGTGTAGATAACTTGAAATGAGCAAAGCAATTTCAGACTTTAGTTTTTGAGACAAAAAAGAGAGAGAGAGAGGGGGGGGGGGGGTCGAGAATTCTGCTTAGCTGTGCAATGCCTTGCGGCCTTGCCTACCTAAGTCCTAGTCAATGTTTGTGCTAAGAGGTAAGTAGCAATGCCTTTGTGCACATAATCTTGGTTGTGCAAAAAAACCCCAGCCTACCACCATTGGTTTGAAAGGGAAAGTCCAGATGTGATTCATTGTTATAGTTGAAATTTACCAGGAAATTCGAATAATAAATGTCTCTTACTAGAAGAGAGAAAGGAGAGTGGGAGAAGGGTAATATATCTTGTATACATATTGTTTAGTAATCCTTTAATTGGTTTGTGTCTTGGGTTGCAAACTTGTGGAGAACGAAGAAGTGAAGTAAATGGTTTCTGTATTGGGTTGCTTATGGTAAGCTATATATACAGAGTTCTTGTTTGCCGAATGAACTAGTCTTTTGCTTCTCTGGAGTACACGATATCATTAAGATATTTCTCTGGCTTCTATTTGACATGCTTATTTTAGTACACACAGACTATATTTATATGCAACTCACATGGGGCTATCTTTCAGCAATTCATCAAAAACTCAGTTGATTTCTGGAAGTGCCAGAGACCAAAGCTCGGCTTGAATAGCTTGCTCGTCCTGTCTTTCTTTCTTTCTTTTTTTTTTTTCCCCTAGTGCTTAAGTTGGTACCATGCTACTTTGATGCCTGACCTTATATCTTATTCCTGGCACAGAATTATCGAGCTGGTTCCCCAGGAGATTTCACAGTGGAATGGGATACTCCAAATTCTAATGATGTAGTATTGCGAAAGAAATGTGATACTGGCGAAGATGTTGCTGTATCGGCTTTACTTGGTCCACCAGATTATGCAAGAGATGGTACATATCCAAGGGGTGTTCTTATGAAAGTGTGCATAAAAAAGCCTGGCTTAAGTTCACTTCTCCACTTTAAGTGCGAAGTTACCAATGCAGGTCATTCTGGCCCAGAATTCAATATCCATTCTGCAGATTATCTAAGATCAACAAGCTCTACAGGTCCTAAAAATTACAAGGCCCCCTTGTTTAGGTAAATGTATGTTGTCATTGTGATTAACAAGCCCTTTTAGTTAGTTTATTCGAAATTATAGGATTGTATTTTAATTGTTACTCCCTATATTATCAATCTTTTTATCTATCCCTCAGCATTCTCTCTTATTTTCTGTTTACCTAAATTCATTTCTTCATTGAACATTTAACAACTTTTAAATCTCCATGTCAACCCCAATAAATAAAGTTAAATATTGGACCGAGGTAGTAATAATTTGCTTACAAACTTTCTTATTTACTAGTATCCGCCCACTTCTTTGCCATTTTGGATTAGTCACTTTTTGACCTTCAGGGAGAGTTGATCAGTGAGATTGGTTGAATGACTTAATGTTAATGGTCATCAATTCATCATGCTTGATTTCCAATGTGCAGCAGTTTTCTAGTCCGTGTTATACTTCGTATCCGCTATAGTTATATTCTTTGTTTATGAAGTGCAAGACTGCAACTCCTTTTTTCTTTCCTAGTGTTTATTATCTTTTATTCAGTACATTTACAGTGAATTGGAACCTCATCTTCTAGATCCATGAGAAGATTTCCTGATTCAATGTTGATATTCTGATATTCATATATGGTTCCATTTCTTCAGTGAATTAGACTCTGATCTTCAAGATGCATTCAGAGACTATTTACATACGAAGGGGATTGGAGAGAGCTTGATGAACTTCCTTTTAGTACACATGCACAAAAAGGAGGAAAATCAGTACGTCAACTGGCTGCAGAAGCTTCAAGGAATGTTATCTCAAGGTGATTGAATGTAAGTTACGGAGAGAATGATCTTCTGACATTCTTGTCTCAGATGTTAGCATGAAATTTTATGTATATAAACACGGCAGGGGTATTTTCGGCGACCTGGTTAGACATTGTGATCTAGTCATTGCTTTATTGTAAGATAGCATGATATAGCTGTCATGTTATTCTTATGAAGCTTCAAAGAAAACTCAACTTACCGAGAAATATTCAATTCTGAGCACGTTGATTTCATCAGTATTCAGGAGGAACTTTTCCTGCATATATTTATGGTAGTCGTTCACATTATTTTTTGAATTGGCACATTGAAGACCTTCCAATCCCGAGCTGGCGCAAGGCGGTCTTACCTATCCACGATTACACATTGACCGAATTATAAAAATCCTATATATAGGGGTGTGCCCAAAATGGCTAAGGGAAAAAAATGAGGTTAAGATTGATAGTTGCGGAATACTTTCTACTTGGAATATATTTTAGACGTCGTTAATTTGTTATGTTCTTTAGCTTTTCAACAAATAAACGTCGTTAATCTATTATGTTCATTAGATTCTGGAAAAATTGCCAAAGTGAGCCTTAAATGGAAACAATTTTCCAAACTAGATGCGTGACAAAACTATTTACCAAACTAAGTTTTAGGGTAAAACGTCAACTAACCTTTTTATTCCTGGGCATTTATTTTTTTAAAATTTCAGTCAAGGCAAAAGCGCCATCTAGGGTGGCGTTTTTACCCTGACTGAAATTTCTAAAAAAAATTGGTCTAGGTAAAAACGCCAGGTTGGTGTTTTACCATTGTACCAAAAACGCTAACCAGGCTGGCGTTTTTGTATCGGGTATTTCAGTCAAAGCAGAGTTATTATTTCCATTGTTCTTCAAAAAAAACGAAACCCCCCAATTTACAAGTCCTAACCCGCGCCACATTGTTCGCCCAATCCTCCATATTTGTAGCAAATTCATCACACCCCATTACTTAGATCTTCATCATAGTCACTAAAAATTATTCCTTCTTCTTTGTTCAACACTTTTACGCAGTACATTGATCGAATTTGAGGTATGTATTGAATTTAACTATTTTACTTGTTTATGATGTTTTTTGGGAATTTATGTTTGTAATTTACAATGTATGTACTATATTGTTGTTCAAGTATGCGAAATATGTATAACTACATAATACATTGTTGTTTAATTATTGAAATTAAGTATATTTATATGTATGTTGTTTAATTGCAAACCATGTATATGAAGCATACATTATTCTTCATACTTAGTGTGTAAATTTCAAGTATGTTTACGAACTACATTGTTGAATTAGGTACATTTAAATATATACTACATTGTTGATTAACTAGGTAAATAAGTACATTGTTGAACACTAAGTTATATATATGCTTAGCTTGAGGATTTAATGGAATCATTGTGGTTTTAGTTGTGTTGTGTATTTGTGTCATCTAATATGTGTTCCGATTGTTATGTAGAACATGGCTTCACAATTGATTGTTTTGTTATGCCGTTGGGGGGAGGGGTGAAATTTTGTGTGTCGGATCGAATGTCGAGTATAGAGGAGGAAAAATGGAACCGTTGGCATTGAAACCTTGTATGACTTACAATGATTTGCTGAAGAAGGTTTATATTATAACTGATTCAAACCCAACAAATGTTGAACTGAACATTAAAATGAGGTTTGAGAATGTCAGTGGGGTTCAAATCTTACCTGTTTTGAATGACGACCATTTGGAGGTTTTGAGGGGTGTCCTTGCAATGAGGTCTCTTCCCACTGATTTGTATGTGGAAATGGTGTCTATATGTACTCAACAGACTATTCGCTTGACAGAGCAACAACCTACATATCTTTCCTCATACAATACAAGCTCGTTACAAATGCCCTCATACAACATTCCGTCATTTGAATATGGAATAAGATCTTTCAGTAGAATGTTACACGACGATCAATTTGACATTCCATTCAGTTCACATTTTACTGCACCTGTACATGAAGGGGCGTCGGTGTCAATGTTGCAGCAACCTGGTCCATCTACCTCAAACAATGACATTTCATCACCGATGCAGTTTCACAGTTACTCTCCTACGCAAGAACATGTTCAAGCAACACCGTCTCAAACTTTGGTGAATGCTGAACCTGTTGTAAACAACGAATTGTCTGTTCTTGATATGTATGATGATACAAACGACGAGGGTGAAGGCGGATATGAGGAAGATGTTATAAACAACGAATTATTTGTTGATGATGCTATGGCTAGAACTCCATTGCCTTGGTTCACTCAAATAAACGAGAACTATGAGGTGGACATGTATTGGGCTGATTCGGGGAGCCAGACTTCGTTTGTTGTCGGGGGAGAAATTGAGAAGGGCATGATTTTCGATAGTAAGAAAGTGCTCCAGGAAATGGTGAAATTGTATTCCATAGAACAGAATCAGTTCTACACCACGGTGACGTCGAATGAGAATGTCCTTCATCTTAAATGCAAAAGGGAGTGTAGTTGGTCGCTACGTGGTACAAAAACAAATCTGACCACACATGCCTTTAAGATCGTATCTTACAAGGGCCCACATCGTGAGAACTGTGTGAATGAAGTTCCGCCCAGTAATCACCGACACTTGGACTCCTCCATAATCTGTGACTATGTGAAGTCGTTTATGCATAAAGATCCGTGTTTGAGGGTTGAATTTATACAACATCTCATCTCCAACAAATTTCAATTCGATGTTCCCTATCGAAGAGCATGATATGCCAAACAGAAAGCTATTGCGGAAATTTTTGGGGATTGGGAGAGTTCGTACAACAAACTTCCTTTTTTCATGCAAGCCCTCCAGGAGTCAAACCCGGGCACCGTAGTTTTATAGAAATACAAAGCTATTGCTGAAGGCATTTACTACAGCAACATGGAGGTGTTTGAACGATTGTTTTGGGCCTTCAAGCCTTGCATCGATGGGTTTAAACATTACATGCCTATGTCTCTCTATCGATGGGACACACTTGTATGGGAAATATAAAGGCACACTTTTGGTTACTACAAGTGTTGATGCTAATTTAGGTATTTCCTCTAACATTTGCAATAGTTGAAGGGAAAACACCTCCAGTTGGTCTTGGTTTCTAAGCTGCATTCGGTTTCATGTTACTGATTGAGATGGCCTATGTGTTATATTTGACCGACATGCTGGGATTATTGCTGCAATGAATGACCCGAATGTTGGATTTTATGAGCCTCGGGCCTTTCACATGTTTTGCGTTTGACACATGGCCTCTAAATTGACGACTCATGTCAAGAACAACATGAGAGATATGTTCAATGCTGCTTACCAACGCCAAGAAAAAAAATTGACTGATGATATGCGTTCTATCGGTGAATCTTGTGTCAAGTCCCTAGAGTACATTATGGATGTGTCGTTTCACAGGTGGTCCTTGTTTCATGACGCTGGTCGTAGGTATGGAATATGTACTACAAATTTTTCAGAAACATTTAACAATGTGTTGAAGGGAGCTCGTTTTCTACCGATCATGTCCCTAGTGGAGTTAACTTTCCACAGAGTTAACAAGTATTTTAATTTAAGAAGGGATAGTTCACTTTCTAGGTGTGCCGACGGATATGCATGCTCACCTAAGGTCACTTCCATTTTGAAGAAGAATAACAGAAAAGCAAAATACCATACATTGGATGTTTATAGCCGTCAGCTTGGTATATACCAAGTAAAAACACACCGGGGAGACAGGATAGGCAGAAAAGGAGGTCAACTTCAATTTGAGAACATGTACATGCAACAAGCCTATGATATTTCACCTACCGTGTTCTCATGTTCTAGCCGTGTGTCTTAAGTACTCAGTTTCTGAGGAACCATGGGTGGACAGTTTCCTACGATCAGAGGCGTATGCGAATACTTATGCCCCACACTTCTGTCCTATTCCTTGTGAGACGACGTGGAGGACATATAGAGGGCCTAATTAAAATCAGTCCTGATGAGCCCATGGTCTGAGGACAAGGTCGACCAAAGTTGAAGCGTATACGAAATGAAATGGATGAGACTAACCGTCCACCAAGCAAATGTGGTCGTTGTCATCAGGAAGGACACAATAAGAGAACTTGTCCGTTACAAACGGGTGATGACTGGTATTGGTCTTAGTTTATGTCTTAGTTTACTAACATGTTGTGTGTATGTTTCACTTAGGATGCAGTTGATTTCTTGTTTTACATTATGCAATGAACAGAGATCATGGAAGGACACGCTCAGGGACCGCCACGAGCTGACCCAGGACCAGCTGACCATTCTGTCCTGACACTTTAGAGCACCCATCGGAGCCGTGACATATGGGAGCAGTTAGTAAGTTTTCATTTACCAAATCTTTAAAGTTTTTGGCAATTTTTATGTTAACTGATCCAACAATGTATTTTTTGTTGTTGTACAGGTTGATCCAGCTCGGTGCTTGCTTTGCAGGCACCACGTTGGAAGGGTCGTGGAAAATTGGGTCGTCGACCCGCGTGTGCTACATTACATCGATTTTGTGGGTTTTGGCGGATTTCACAGGATGGCCTTCACACCTATAGATCGACGCTAATTATATACTGCTCTCGTTGAGAGATGGCGACAGGAGACTCACTTTTTCCATCTACCAGTTGGGGAGGCCACCGTCACGCTCCGAGATGTGGCGATACTGACATGACTCCCAGTACGTGGTAGGGCAGTGACAGGGCCCATTATACAGGACCCTCGTGGCCTTGTTGAGAGGGTGTTAGGGGTGAGGCCTGAGGACACCGCTATTAGAGGCACAGGGCTGAGACACATATGGTTACGAGAGACATTTGGGGTATTGCCTCCTGATGCTGATGATGGAGTCGTTCAGAGATACGCTCGAGCGTACCTGTTCATGTTGATAGGATCGTTATTTAGTAACAAAAGTGGTAGTCACATACAATTGTTAGAGAACAACTGGGAGTAGATATGTGACTACAGCTGGGGTAGTGCGTGTCTGGCGACCTTGTATCGCCATCTTTGCAGAGCATCCCAGCGAGACAGATGGGAGATCGGCGGTCCTTTGATTGTGCTTCAGGTAGCCCTTTAATTTCATACCATTTTTTTAACTATTACGTACTTAACGGTGGCTAAACGTAACTCGTGTTTTTTATTACAGTTATGGGCTTGGGAGCACATCCACGTTGGTAGGCCAGCTCGGGCTGCTAGCCGTCGACGCCAGGAGGAGGAAGACGATCAGGAGCATGCATATGAGGTTCCATTACTCCCTCCACCAGACCTGGCATGCGGTTGCAGGTATGTATGACTTATTGTTAAGTTTTCCTCATACCAATTTATTTTGCTAATAATTTCTCATGAACGTTGTTATTATATATAATTAGGTGGCTGATGCGGAGACTTACTCGTGTGCATGCAGCGAGGGGTCTACCGTATTACAGAGATGCATTCGACAGTCTGAGCAAGTCTTAGGTGATAGTTCACTATAAAAACTAATTTAACACCCCGTTCATTGTTTCAATAAGTTAATTATGATGTTAATGAAGGCGTGTTAATGAAGATGACGTGGGATCCGTATGTCCCTGACCTAGGCAATGCCATGCCCCCATATCTTCGTGATCATCATATGGAGTGGCGTGCCATGACTGTCCTCATCTGTTTTGAGGTAGTTGAAGCTCACCTCCCCGATAGAGTCATGCGACAATTCGGCCTTCGTCAGGCCGTCCCCGCCACGTGTGACACGAGTGTCCACTTGCAGACCGACGAGGAAAGGGGGATGTGAGCTGGGCAGTTCAGCATGCCCCTTTCATTGACATGTGGGATCAGCGGTTGCAGCACGTCGCGGATGGTGCGCCTTTCCAAGGCCGGATGGAGTATCAAGATCCATACATGGTATGGTACAGGACGGAGCATTACCCGGCTCTTCATCAACCCTAACTACACCCCACCCTCAACTCATTATCAGCCAGCTTTTGGAGACATCAGTGGATATGTGAGTTTTAGTTGGATTTTTTTTTTTTTTTTATCAATTTATAATTTCTGGTATTATTAAATTGATTGATTGTTGACTAATGCAGGCGTTTGATATGCTTGCTATACATGATGCATTGGGAGTCTTGAGCATATCATATCCCACCATACCGGAGATAGATGAAATTCAGGAAATGACTGTGAGTAGCTTACAGAGACATGGTCATGGTAATCTTATCCAGGGGCAGGACCAATCACACCGGGTTCACACCGTGAGATAGGCGAGAGTAGCAGGGGACGGACTCACACGTCCCCTACAACGTCCCCGCAGTTTTTTGACAATCAGGAGGACTTCGCCATACCCATGTCTGCGCCATACTCATCACAGGAGGGACCATCATCCAGTCAAAAAAACTCCTCCCCAGACTTCTGCCCCAGATCCTTTCACAACGGTATTTCAGTACTATCGTCGTAGGAGACCGCGAGTTGATAGACATCAATTACATCGAATAGATGAATCAGAATCTTAGAACTTCTTTTGTTAGTTTGTTGTAATCGGATTCTCAAGTACGTTGTATCCAAACAAATATTATCAATTTTACTGACTTTTTTAATTGATTTTCTGTCCATTATCAACTTCACCATACGCATTCATTCTTTTCATTGAACTGATAGTTATTGCTAATGTTATTGTTGTTGTTGTTGTTGTTGTTGTTGTTGTTGTTGTTGTGGTGCCTGCTTTTGTTGTGGTTGATGTTGTTGTTGCTGCTGTTGCTGTATTTGTGGCTGGTGCGGTGCCTGTAGTTTGCAGGTTGGGTGTTCCAGGTAAAAATGCCAACCTGGCACTTTATGACTTAGAGTAAAACGCCAACTAGGCTGGCTTTTTTTTTTTAGAAATTTCAGTCAGGGTAAAAACGCCACCCTGGATAGCGCTTTTGCATTGACTGAAATTTTTATAAAATAAATGCCTAGAGATTAGTTTGGTAAATAGTTTTACCACGCGTCTACTTTGAAATTTTTTTTCCACTTAAGGCTTACTTTGACAATTTAACCTTAGATTTTCAACAAAATTCTACTTGGATTTCATATTAATATAAAATTCTTCTTATAGGGTTTAAATTCAAAGTCAAGACCACCAAGAATTGAATTAGAATTTTAGCTCTCGCCATTTTCATTCAATTTTTTAACAATTTTTTTTTTTTTACTTACCACTTATAACTTTTTTTGTATCATTTTTAGAAAAGGGACTCACCACTTTGATTTTCATAAACAATTCTTTTTACATATCAATTTAAACTTTTACCTATTTTTTTACTCCTTAATATTAAAAAGAAACGGAAATGTTTCCATAGTGGATGTATACTTTAATTGAAATTAGCTAATGATTTTAATGTAGAGTACTTCGTACAATATTTATTTTACAATTTTCTTACAATTATAATATTAATCTTTTTATACTTTGTATTTGTTACACCATACTTGCGAAGTAGTGAGCTTAGATGTTATGAGAGCCTATTATGTACACCTGGGTATACCGTATATCCGGGGTCATTTAACACTCATTTGTTGATTGAATGAGCAAATGACCTGGGTGTATATAACAAATTATAAGACGTTACTCCTTTCGTTCTTATTTATTGGTTAAGTTTTGACTTTACACGTTTGTTAATGCACTTGTTTGACCATTAACATCTTTCATTGCATACTTGTGAAAATTATAATGATTGAATATTAATAAAGTGCTAGTTGAGGTGAATCAAACAAGACCGCACTTTACGATATTATGTTTATGTCTTATATATTGAGATTAAACTAGAAGATTCTCTTAGCTTATGAATAATGTCAAAAACAAAACGTAACCAATAAAAATGAACAGAAGGAGTAATTCATTATGATATTAGGCTAATCAAACAACATTTGTCCATTTCACATAACACAACTTTAAAATCGATCAGATAGACAATTGCAAATACTAAAGGGAATGTCAATTTAATTTAAATTGAGTGCACCATACCTCTCGTATAATATTCGCATACATGTCAAGAAGTAGTCATCGAAATCAAAATTCAATGTAAAACCAGTTTTCAAAAATAGACTCCCTCTTTTTTTTTTTTTTTTAATTAATTAAATATTAAACTTTTTCAAAACTAAAAAAAAATACGGAGTATTAACTTTAACGTGAAGTCGTGAAGGCGAATAAGTGGACCATATAATAAAAGTGGGGGTACCAAGTTTCATTTTCCCATTATTCATCCCTATTTCTAGCCCCCAAAACACAACCTTTCTTTTGTTTGAAAGTCCAATGGTGAACTTGTACTAACTACTAGTACTCCTTCCCGCCATTCTTTGTAATTTGTTTCATGTAACGTAATCGATACACAATAAATTTATCGACCGCCTAATATCATTTTCAATGGAGAGGTTGCTTAAGGACTTTAATTTGCCGCTGGATGCGCCCGAAGACGCTCGTATTCGGTGGCGAAAAGCCGTCGGATTGCTCATTCGTAATCGCCGTCGTCGTTTCCGATATGTTGCTAATCTTAAACAACGCTCTGAAGCTGCTAAAACTCTTCAGGTTCGTTTTATTTTATTTTTAATATTAAATTTCTTAATGGGGTATTATGGTATTAATGTTGCTGAAAATATTTGTTTAATGTTCAATAGTTTGTTGACCTTTTGTATTTCCTCATAAAAATCTCTTTCGAATGGCTCAAAAAGATTATGGTATATGACTTTTTAGCCCCTACAATAAGTAGAGTTGATAAAAATGAGATTGAGACAGTACTCGTAACTTTTTTATGTTGACTATTCTGTATTAGCTTTTTCGATTACCTAGCTACTCCTCTATCGTAAATTTGTAATACGAGTAATATTTTAAAGTACTTCCTCTTTTTTTTTTTACTCACAATTTTTATTTTTATATATATTATTATCAACTTTTGATTCCCCTATAACCCCACTTACATAGAATTTTAATAAATGGAGTACATTAGATGAATAAATTATTTAATGCTGCCGTAAAGGTTAAGATAGTAATAGGAAGTAATTTGTGAGATAAGAATAAAATAATGTATGTTTCGTTTTTGATAATAATAGAGTTATTATTTTATCCCGTCAAAAAAAAAAAAAGAGTTATTATTTTATCTTTATTAACTCTAATTTCTTTTTATCCATCCTTATCATCCTAAACAAAACACAAGATCTCTTCAGTCCTCACACGCTTATTCTCATGAAATTCCCTTTTTCTTATTCCACTAATAAATAGACAACCTCAAATAAAAGGAAATGGAAGATGTTAGAAAGCTATAGACATGTTTTTTTTTTTATAATTTATGAAATTGCGTATTTCCTAGGTAAATAAAACAACTCGTACAAAGTACTCCATCCGTCCCCAAGTTCGACCCTTTTGGCCTAATTTTAGTCCCAAAATGTTCATCTCATTTGCATTTTAATACCCTCTAATTTGCAATAATATTTGTGCAAAATTAGCTTCTCCATGCAAATTTTGCTTTTTCTATATACTTTTATTACTTTCTCTCTCTACTTTTTTGCAATTTCAATATAAATTTCCCTTTTCAATTTACTTTTCTTAGCTTCCCCATGCACTCTTATAGTTCCAATAACTTTCTTAATACCCGCAAAATCAACCCAAAAGGGTCGTTCTTTCGGGGACGGAGGGAGTAGCAAAGAAAATTCTTTATTGTTGTTTTATAACTTACGAATTATTTCTTAGGTAAATGTCACTTCTCTTGGAAACTTTCACGGTAAATGAGGGAGCCTCAGTTTCTCATAGTGAGAAACATGGCAATTGTGTAAATAAAACATACTTTATTCAATCTTATTTGATTGTGGAGCCTATAATAATGAAAAAGTTGTTGATTTATTCACGAAAATGCTCTCAAGAAAAACAAATTTCATTTCTCACTATAAGAAAAAGGGAATTTCTCACTTTAAATGATTAAACAAACGACAAGGTAAATAGAGTGCACCTTTACACTAGAAATTAATCCGACATTTATATAATTTTTTTGAAAATTTCTATTTAGTATTTATAATCTTTAGTCAAAACGATGGAGTCACCTATAAACATCTTATCTAATATCCAGATTTTCAGTACTCATTCTGCCTGTACTTGCTGTCATATTGTAGTTGAATCACCTTATAAATTATTGTGCTTTAGTACTAATAAGATTCCACTTGTTAAGGTTAATGTGATAATCACATGAAAATATCCACTCTACTTTATTAAAGACCCTATCTTATTTATTTATCTCAAATTTCAAAAATTTGTACTGCACTACTAGTGTAGTGGGTGCACCCATTAAATAGCATTATAAATAATGGACCTTATCACCTTGACTTCTTCTTAGCTACTGTAAGATAATGGCCTAAGAAAATTTCTAGCCGCAAAATTTTGACTTTTTTTGAACATCTATACAAAAATATCAATAGGTACATTACATAATACATATCATAGGAAATTTCCTTGAACTTTCATAACGGTATTGCTGATCAAATTGAGATTATGGGCATTTTGTACTGGTATAGGTTAACTTTGGCTATATTTGTGAAAGTGATGTTATGGGGCTTTACTTTATCTTTTTGTTGTGCTACATGCTCCAGTTAAAATCTTTGTACGTGCATTCTGGTACCAATGTCACGAGAATTAATCCTTGCTAGGATTATTACCTTACATAAGAAAGCTCGGAATACCAAACAATTTAGGTACTTGCTACCTAACACGCTATGAATTGATAAACATAAGTACATAATGTATAATGGATGAAGTAAAGATTAAAGTGAGGTCTAGTGCAAGTAATACGTAGCGTACTTACGTGCTACTCCATAAGGATTTGGCATATTGACTACTGAGGCTTTGTTTGGTAATTAATTAGCGAGTAACTAGTTTCTAAGAGCTAGCTGGTTGTGTTGAATGATTTGACTAACTGATTGAATTGGATGTAGTGACTAGCGGAGCTAATAATTTGTAGCTATTACTCCAAAAGTACTTAGCACACTAAAGCTCACACCAGAGTAAAATAAACATTGTGTTTTTGCACACAATGGGGGCGTAAAGCCATAAAATATAAAGATATATGACTATATGAGTGTTTCAATGACTATTAACCTTTGTGACTAGTGAGGAATGCGTTACAGGCTGAATTAAGATAAATGATTTCATTTAGATTTTTCTAGACGTAAAATTTACAACATGACCAATGAATTGAGCACTCTATATGCAGATGTGGTCACAAAACTTGGATGTTCAACTAAATTAAATTCATGTTGCTGTAATTCAATATCTTATACGAGTCCTCCATGCACCATCTTTCCTTATCTGTGCGAGCTGCTAGATGCTCAAATGCTCAATAGAGTAGGTTCATGTTTCATTCTTGTTGCTAAATTCAATTGAACATGTTCGCCTGACTTTGGATTGCTTTCGCATAATGGTATGCTACCTTTGAATTCTTGTATGAACCTTGTAACTTGCACTATATGTTCTCTAGTATGAGGTCTGTGCATTGACATCAGCTGAAAGTATCTCTATAGGTTTTGAATTAGGTCTTTCAGTTTCCTAATAGAGGTTTGTTGATAATGTCCTATTGTCCTGCAATAAGAAGAATAATAAAAATGATCCAATATAATCCCTTCCTTTGGGAGGGTCTTAAGAGACTTATACAATGCTTCTTAGCCCCGTTGTCTACTTAACAGTCAAGACTATAGGACCTCAGCTCAGGAGCAAATACAACTCTAAGAGAAAATAGAAATTTTGGTTGAACAATCCAGCTAACACTAGGGAAATTGTAGTTCAGCATCACTTGTAGTTTGTAGTTCCAACTTCGCTCTATACACATTATAACACTGATGTCTCTTGTGTTATTGACACTTCACAAGGGAATCTTGAGGCAGTTGTTTGTAGTTTGGACTGTTTGCCATACCCATTGATGTCTCGTGTACTCTTGCAATTGACACTTAGGCTACTCAAACTATAACATATGAAAACTATTATTGCTATGCTCTGCAATTGGTAATCTTGAAATATTGTTTCTGGGAATAAGGATATGCATGTTATGATTCGTCTATCTTTGGCTGCATCATCCCATATCCCATGAGTTAGTTTTATCTAGACCTGTGTACTTAGCTGTTCTTATTTATTTATTTATTTTTTGACAGGATTTACGTGTTGCGTTCATGGTACATAAAGCAGCAATTCGTTTTAGTGATGGTATGGAACTTCGAAATATTCTATGATATTACTTGCTATCTATTTCTCCAGTTATTCTGTGTATAATATGTTAATCATTTTTGCAGCTGGTAGAACTGAATATACGCTATCAAAGGAAACCCAAGAAGAAGGCTTTGGAATTGATTCTGATGAATTGGCATCAATTGTTCGTGGCCATGATACGAAGGGCTTTAATACCCATGGGGGCATAGAAGGACTAGCCATGAAAGTATCCTCATCACTCAAAGACGGAATCTCATCAAGTGACATATCTCGTAGGCAAAAAATCTATGGAATGAACAAATACACTGAAAAGCCTCCTAGAGGATTTTGGACATTTGTATGGGAGGCGTTACATGACTTTACATTAATAATTCTGATGGTTTGCGCGGTGGTTTCAATAGGGGTAGGAATAAGTACTGAAGGGCTTCCTAAAGGAATGTATGATGGGGTGGGAATTCTACTCAGTATATTTTTGGTTGTCATTGTGACTGCTGTCAGTGACTATAAACAGTCATTGCAATTCATAGATTTGGACAAAGAGAAGAAGAAGATATACGTCCAGGTGACAAGAGATGGACGTAGGCAGAAGGTACTGATTTTTGATTTGGTTGTTGGAGATATAGTAAACTTGTCTACTGGAGATATAGTTCCTGCTGATGGAATCTTTATTTCCGGATACAACTTGTTGATTGATGAGTCAAGCTTAACGGGTGAGAGTGAGCCAATTAACATAACTCATGAAAAGCCGTTTCTTTTATGTGGAACGAAAGTACAAGATGGATCAGCTACAATGCTTGTGACTGCTGTTGGTATGAAGACTGAATGGGGAAAGTTGATGGAGACTCTAAGTGAGGGGGGTCAAGATGAGACGCCTTTGCAGGTGAAGCTAAATGGAGTTGCTACTATAATTGGAAAGATTGGATTATTATTTGCAGTACTGACATTTTTAGTGTTGACTATTAGATTTGTTATTGAAAAAGTTGTTCATGATGAGATCACACACTGGTCTTCAGGAGATGCATTGAAGCTCCTAGACTACTTTGCTATTGCAGTAACTATTATCGTCGTTGCTGTTCCTGAAGGGCTTCCATTAGCAGTGACTCTCAGCCTTGCATTTGCAATGAAGAAATTGATGAATGACAAGGCACTGGTTAGGCATCTTACTGCTTGTGAAACGATGGGTTCTGCCACATCCATCTGCACTGACAAGACTGGGACACTCACGACAAACCATATGGTAGTTGAAAAGATTTGGTTATCTGGGAAAAAACGAGATTTGAAAGGAAAAGCATTGAAATCAGAAATATCTGAGGGTACCTTGACCACACTTTTACAAGTTATATTCTTAAATACTGGTGCAGAAGTAGTAAAGGACCATGACGGAAAGACTTCCATTCAAGGGCAGCCAACAGAATCAGCATTGCTTGAATTCGGAATGCTTCTAGGGGGTGATTTTGAGGAGTTGCGCCAGAAGTACGAGATAAAGAATGTAGATCCTTTTAATTCTGTTAGAAAGAAGATGTCTGTCCTTGTGGCTTTGCCAGAAGGTGGCACTCGAGCCTTTTGCAAGGGGCATCAGAAATAGTTTTAGGCTTGTGCAACAAAATGATTGATTGCAATGGCAATTCTGTAGACATTTCTGAAGAGCACTTCAAGAGTATAACTAATGTCATTAATGGTTTTGCTGATGAAGCTTTGAGGACTCTGTGCTTGGCTTTCAGAGACATGGATGATGGATATGATGAAAATAGCATTCCTGAAGATGGATATACTTTAGTAGCCGTTGTTGGAATCAAGGATCCAGTTCGTCCTGGGGTAACAGAAGCTGTTCAGACTTGTTTAGCTGCTGGAATCACTGTGCGTATGGTCACTGGTGACAACATCAATACAGCCAAGGCCATAGCAAGGGAATGCGGTATACTAACAGAAGGTGGCCTTGCCGTAGAAGGATCTGACTTTCGTAGTAAGACTCATGAGGAGATGAAAGAGATTTCACAAAGAATCCAGGTTTGTTTTCCAATTCTTATAGAAACTCTTTGGTTGCAGGCATTTAGAGTTGGAAAGTACTGAGATTTGCTTGGATTTTTTTTTTTCCAATCAATTAAATCAGGTAATGGCACGGTCTCTGCCATTAGACAAACACCAATTGGTGAGTAGCCTGAGAATACTCCGGGAGGTGGTTTCTGTGACTGGTGACGGGACCAATGATGCACCTGCCTTGCATGAGTCTGATATAGGACTTGCTATGGGAATTACAGGAACAGAGGTTTGTTAACAATTTCATTGTCTAAGTAAATTATGATGTACCTTTTATTTTAGAGGATGGATGTAGGGTTCATTCAGTTCTTTTACTCATGATTCCACATGGTGATTATGAAATTTAATGCCTGTTAAAATGACTGTTGCAGCGTAGCTACTGAACAGTTTCTTACTTTCTTTCTTTCCTCACACTTCCCTTGGTCTTTGCCAATTTCCGGGGATTGTCGACTTGTAGTTGATACCTTTTCATATGATTTCAGTATCATATTGTTTCTGACAATAAAGACTTTGCAACACCTATAATCTCTAAAATCCAAATTTTCTTACAAAGAGCTTCTATATAGATAGATATTACCTGTATTTCAAGAGACTAGAATTAAAACTTTGTAGAAATTGTTTATTGAGATTTACCATTTACCACCTTAAGTCTGAAATTTTGTGAACTGAGAGTTGCATGTAGAATGCTGCTGTTCTGCCTTTTGACTCCACAAGTTGTTGTCTGCAGGTTGCAAAGGAAAGCGCCGATGTCATTATTTTGGATGACAATTTCAGCACCATTGTAAATGTAGTCAAATGGGGGAGGGCTGTCTACATAAACATCCAAAAATTTGTGCAGTTCCAGTTGACAGTCAACATAGTTGCTCTAATGCTCAATTTTGTAGCTGCATGCATCACTGGTTAGTCAACAAATTATAGTACTTTCTTACATTGCACAATATCTTTGTACATTTTATGGATATACTTTGGGGCTTCTAGGTTCTGCTCCATTGACGGCTGTGCAGCTGCTGTGGGTCAACATGATTATGGATACACTTGGCGCGCTGGCCCTGGCTACAGAACCACCTAATGATGAGCTCATGAAAAGACCTCCTATTGGAAGAAATGCTAGTTTTATCACCAAGACTATGTGGAGAAATATCCTTGGCCAGAGTGTATATCAGTTCGCTGTCCTTGCTGTTCTAAGCTTTGATGGAGAGCGGCTACTTAGACTTAGCGGCCCAGATTCTAACGTTATCCTGAATACAGTCATATTCAACTCTTTTGTGTTCTGCCAGGTTCCCTCTTGCTTTTTCTCTGCCTCTCTTTTATCCTTTCTTCCATTGCTCCCCTTTCCCTCAGATTGAAATTGAAAATCCAGCAACAAACAGCACTTACCATTGAGCTTTTAAGTCATGTTATTGTTTTCGCTGCTTTATATTCATCTGTTTAACATGTGTGTTTTCTGCTCCATTCTTTATCAGGTGTTCAACGAAATCAATAGTCGTGATATAGAGAAAATAAATGTCTTCCGTGGAATATTCAGAAGCTGGATTTTCATTGTTGTTATGGTTTCCACTGTTGCATTTCAAGCAATCATAGTTGAGTTTCTGGGAACTTTTGCAAGCACTGTGCCCTTGAACTGGCAGCTTTGGTTAATCAGCATTTTAATCGGAGCAGTTAGCATGCCTTTAGCTGTCATTCTAAAGTGCATTCCTGTTGAGAGAAATGCTGCTCCGCAACACCATGATGGGTATGAAGCCTTACCTAGTGGTCCAGAACAGGTCTAATAATACGCAGACTGCACCAACTTTGATCAGAGAAAAACGGTGCATAACTCAATTTCACAAAAAAGGCATGAACCAGAGAACTAACTGGTTGAAGAAGTATCCTCAGGTGTTGCTTCAGTTCCACATATTTTCCTCGTACCAGCGGCTTGCAACTCATTTCACTTGCACCAATGTTTCAAGTGTAGATATTCTGGATTAACTTTATGCAAATTAGGAATTTGAGATTAGGCCAAATTTTACTAAAATGATTCATGGAAGTGGTTTCATTTTAGGTACCTCCACCCATACGGAATTTACGCTTCTGTTAAGTTGCTTACATAAACGTATGGCTTAGTTAGAACGGGTTAACTTATAATGGTTTGAAAACGACAATAATTTTCATCTAATGGCTTTGTGTCAATTGAAAGTTTACCTTGCAATTGAACCGTTTGCAATTGTTTATGTCTTTTTCCTAAAAACACAATTAGCTTGGTCAAAGTATCATCCATTAATAATTTAATAGATGTGGTAAATCCGTTTGGGTGGAGGTATTTAGAATGAAAAATACTTGACGATTTTTGAATATTCAAAGGATGTAAGTTTTACAAAATATCAACTCCTGAGATGTTGGTGAAGACTAAAGCCTCTGGTATGAAAAAATGTGAAGTTGAAGCAACTTCTGATGATACATCTTCGGACCATGCTTATCTTCAACAGATTAAGCCATGCACAATTTTATTTTTCATCAAAGTTGGTGCTCATGCAAATATTGGTTCATATGGAGAAGCCGTCGAAGGGAACTGAGACAAGGTGCCATTGTGAGACCTCTAATCTTTTCAAGTTGCAGTTATTCTGTTGGGAGCACTGTAAGAGAAAATGTTATTGGTGTTTACAAAATGTGAGGTAAATTATTAGATTTCATCCATGTTTTCTTGCCATATTACCTGAATCTGAGATAGCATGCTGGTAGAGAAGAAAAAATTATCTTGTTTTTCTGGTGTTATATCAACTTATTTCAGCAAGGTATTGATTTTATGCTCCAAGAATATGCAAACTTTCAATTCTCTTCATTTTTGTTTGTAGTTGCAAATTTGCAATCTATTACAGTACTTGTATTACTCTAGGCAAATTTACTGCATGAAAAACCTAATTGAACCGCGTTCAGATTTTCATACTACCAATTTCACAGCATAGTCATTAAATTCATCTGATCATACTGTTAAATAGCAATAACGACAACACTATATTCTCTCTGATAATTTTCTTAAGCTGATTTGCCTGGTGAGCAGAATAAGTACAAAAAACAGAATTATAACCTCTGTTTTGACCTCTCTGTGAACAAATACTGCTCCACTCTACTCAAGATATGCTACTAACATACAAGGGGTTAAACCCGAAACAATTGACAAAATATAGTTATGTGTAAATACCTAGCTAATCAATCTTCCTATTTAAGATGATAATAAATAAATAAAGAATGTATTACTTGAATCTCCGCTTTGTCTCTCCATAAGCAATTACTCCAAGAACAGTCATTGTATAACCACCAATACCAATCACGGTAACTGGGTTCTGGAAAATAAGTATTGAGATAACGACAGCCACTGCACCCTTTGCATTGCCTAATACCTGAAGGAAAATTAAACATATACTGAGTAAAGATACAAATAGCTGGGAGAAACATCAATATCACAGGAATCCCTAGGAAACAGAATAAGAGAAAATGAAACGGAGTGTAAACTTCACCTAAATATGCTATACAAGAAATTGAGATGTCATATTACAAAGTCTTCCCTAACTATTTAAGTTCTTGTAATGGATAAAACAATCCGTATATAACTAGAATTACTTTCCTAGATAAAGTAGATATTCCAAATCCTAGTATTATTACTTTGAGAGATTAATGAAAGCAAACAGGTTAGCCATCGACTCACTACACACACAATTAACTAAACACATTCAAAGCAACATATTAGAGGCAAGAGGATATCAAACCTGGAGAGTTAGGGCACTTGTATACTTAGTCACCAAGAAGTTGGACAAATTGGCTGCATAAGCCATGGTTGAGTTCAGTATAAGAATTATAAACATGAACTTATGCTGATCTCCCACAGAAGCAAAGACTTCTAATACAGTGGGTTCCATTATAAACACAGCAGGAATTAAGGCGACAACTGCAATTGGGGCCATATACAGCAACAAGTTCATCGAGTCCATCTTTTCCCTGAAATAACAGATCATGAGATTAAACTTGAAGTCCAACAGTAAAGCATCCGAACAGAAGTTAAAAATTCACCCCAGTTTGCACTTTGCAACTTGTTAAAGTATGAGTCAATAGGGAAGCTAAATAAAACGTAGTAATATTCTAACAGAAAAGTGTCTGTTCTTTTGCCTACATCTAGTCTCAACAATTTTTAGATAGGACTTAAGAATCAATGGATGATGTCTGAAATAAGCATTCAATTGTTTGATCCATGATGTGCCATGTATTACACTCTTTTGAACTTTCAGCCTTAAATGTGATATACTTCAGAAAATGCTTCTAGATTTCTAATCATGCCTTTAAATACCATGCCCATGATGCTCCATGTACTATTTTCTTCTAAAATTTTGAATATGATGCAAGATAGATGAATTATTGCTATTGTTTTGCTATCAGCATCATGATTAAGTACGGCTCACTTCTAAATATTTGATGCACCATGCTTATGTTGTGTCACTTTTCATGAACCATGATCCTAATCTGTGCTCATGCCTACGTCTCACTTGACAAGATATGGAATGGAAAATTGGATATGAAGAAGGATAAGCTTTTGTGTGTAGATTTGTGATTTTGTACATAATACCACAAAAACTCACTTCCTTTTTTTTGTTATGATTTTTTCTTTCCCTGCTTATATCTTTGAACAATTCTTTACCCGAAATTAAATTAAAATCCCAAGTGCCCAAACTTTTGTAGTGTCTATTCCACATTATTTCATAAAGTAGTGGAAACTCACCCTTCATCAGAGAGTAGGATGCCCTGGAGAACAGATTTGAAAGCCCTCGCTGCAGTGGCACTTATACACATAATAAATCCAAACAAATGAAAACTTGGCTCCCCCTGTCAAAATCCACAAGAGTTCCATCAAGTTTCTTACTTTCAAGTTCTAATTCATCAAAAACACAAAATATTTTCCAAACAAAGATGGACAGAGTAAAAGGTGGTTGTTTGCTTTAGCGATGTTCTCAAAAGAAGCAAAGTTATGACTGAATCACTCTCTAAAAAAAATGCCATGCATATATTCTATTTATAATCTTCTCTTTGTTCAATAATTGGTCCGAAAGGACCGCATTAATATGTTAACTTGGTCTGATATCAATATAACCAAATAGGCAACTAGATTAGTACAATCAATTAAGTACAACAAGACGGGCAAATCAAATCAACAAACAAGCAATGCAGTTTCATCAAATCCTGCAATTAACCAAATTTGACAAACATTACTATTTACCAACATTCCCCAACAAATTGAACAATAACACTCCCAAAACCATCTTCAGTAGCATACTATAACTTCACTTTGTAAATCAATTTGATTACACCGTGCAATGCTCTACTTTGAAAGATCCATCAAATTCAAAGGTGACATAATTGAAATCAAACATTTGCTATTGTACAATATTTAACTCAATATCATTATAACATATTCCAGATCTTAAATCTCATACTTAAAGTTACAAATCAGATAAAAACATACCAAACAATGATCCAAAGAGGAAAACAACAAACAATCCAACAACAATAACATTGCCAAAGCCGTAATCCTTTTGGGACTACCTGTAAACGTAATCCCTAAAGGAGAAGGTCGACTACGTGAACCAAGATTTTATCTCACGTGATCATCAAACACGAATAAAATATAATATTCGAAATACGAAGTTGAAGAAAAATACCCCACTAGCAATAATAACACCAGTAACAACAGGAACGAGGCAAGCATAAGTGACCCAAGCTTCTCTCTTGAAAGTGATCAAATAAGCAAACAAAGCAGTGAAAAACGGCGTCGTAGCACCAACAGCTTGATTGAAGGAAACAGGAAGAAATCTCAAAGATACATTACCACCAACAACTGACCCACAAAAAACAATACTCAAAGTCACAATTTTAAGAAATTGTGATCTTGATTTTACTCTTTGTAATGGAACTATTTTCAGTATAACAATGGAGATGTAACTCAGAAAAGCACAAGCTGACATGTGGCACATTGTTAGGAATATTGGAAACCCAAATTTATAATTTGAGAGAAGTAATTTGTTCAATAATAATACCCCAATATTTGATGAATACCATAGTATTATTAATGATCCTATAAAAATCATGTCTTTTTTTATTGACATATTTTTAATTTTTGGGATCTGAGGATTTGGGTTGAAGCTCTTTCTGGGGCTTTAATGGAGATTAAATCATGATTAAATCGGGTTTTTTTGGAAGATGGGTTAATTTAATTTTATTTAAAAAAAACAAAAAACTAATGTATTTTAAAAATTTCTTAAAAAAAAAAAGCAATCTTTGAGTTAGAGGAGAGAGAAAGGGATGTATTGAGTTTGCAGGAGATGTCACAGGTGGTGGGGAAGAAGATGAAGATAAAAAGCGTAATATTTGTATTTTTATTTACGAGTTTTAATTAATTTATATTTTTAAGAAATTTTTCATTGTGTAATCTTTTTTAATTCGTTGGAGAGACTGTTACACTTTGAAAGTTTGAATAGGGTATTTGTTACGGCTGTCAGTTTCCGAATCGTTAAAGTCCATTGTTTCGAATTGATCCGAAAGGGAACCGAACTGTTAAAAATCCGTTTTATGAAAATCGAAAACCGGTCCGATCCGATTGTTTCAAATCCAAATCTGAACCAAATTGAATAGTTGCAAACCGTTAATGACCAAACTTGTTATCAAATCGAATCGTTATAACTCGAAACCGAGAGCAACTCGAACCGATTATGTCCGAACCCGATAGTAACCCAACCAAATTTAAAACGAAACTGGCTAAACCCGACTAAAATCTGTTATGACCGAACCGTTTATAACCCGTTACCGGTTGTGACCGAACTGTTTACAATTCGAAACCCGTTGTGACCAAACTGTTTACAACCCGCAACCCATTCTGACCGAACCGTTTACAACCCGTAACCCGTAATAACCCATAACCCGTTATGACCAAACTGTTTACAACATGTAAATTGTTCTGTCCAAACCTTTTACAACCCGCAACTTGAATTGTTTAACCAAACAACTTCATCCAATAGCCCATTACATCGAAATTCTTAACCACTCACAAGGCCATATCATATCTAACCTAAACCCAACCCGAAACTAAACCGTTTACACAAACTGATACCCCTAATAAGAACTAATGCCTTATTATAGATATGCTTAATGTATTGAATGTAATAGTGTTACTCTCCCCACACCTTTTAGTTTTTATTTTTATAAAAAACAAAAAAAAACAAAAAATCAAAGATAGTGTACTTGGGTTATTATTTATTAATGTACTGTATAAAATATCAACTGAAACATTTTTTTGGGGTTAGAAGGCAATTAAAGTTGCTATGTCAAGCAATCTATGTAATAGCCATTAAGAGGGCTTTACTATATATATTTAAATATATTGACAATAACAAGTTTAATAAAATAGACACAAAACAAAGTACTTACAGAATACAACAACTTTTTGAAATTAAAATTGCAACGGATAATACCTAAAAAACACTTATATCATAACTAGGAGAAAATCAGTTCATTTCATACAAGTTACAACCAAAAGCATCTCTTATGATGCATAAATTAAGTTTAAATTGCAACCATAGAGGAAATAGCTCAATATCAATTACAAAAGAAACCAGTAGGGTTAGACAGAAACCAAAGATCAATTAGTATTTACTATTTAGTAATTAGTTAGTCACCATTCAAAATGCTCTATAGTACTTTTGAGCTCAACAACAAAAGGTGAACATAGCCTAAGCCTAAAATATACAGCTTTTTAATAGATACAAAATGTGACCATAATCCCATGTTGAAGTAGCAGCAACGAATAACGAATGCAGTCCCCTATACTTGGTCAAAGTATAAATAAGAAATGAAAAAATGAACTGAGAAAAAAACATCATCAACATTAATATGAAATGAACAAACAAGTATATATAAGAAAGTAAATATTGATACGAAATAGGTGAGTTTTGATTTTTTTTTTTTTTTAAAAAAAAAGTGCTTTAATGAGTAGTGGCAAAGCTTAAGAGTCGTGAATCGTGATATGGGCGAAATGAGCTGAGAGCTGATGAAATATATTCCTTAATGAGCTGAGTTTGCCTCCAAAACTTTACTACTTTTTTTTCTTCTTTTAAAATCATTAATTTATCTACAAATTTTATTATTTATTTATTTATTTGGGTTATCTAATTATTAATCTATTTTATATTTAAAAAAAAAAATTAAAGTCATATTTAATTTATAAATTAATAAGGAAACTATAAAAGTAACTAATAAGGAGTTCATATATAAAAATAATAATAATAAAAAAAAGTAACTAATAAGGAGATTTTTCTTTCAAAAAAAAAAAAAAGAATATAAGGAGATTATGACTAAATAACTACTAGCTTATTATAATTTTTTTTTTACGAAACTAACTTACTATAATTAGTAACTCGCTAATTAAAACAACATATAAATACAACTGGCCTGGTAACTATTACTATAAGCCTATAGCTTTATAGCATATTTATGATCCGACCAATTATAACTCTACTCGTTCAAATTCATTAACCGACCAACTTAACTTGTATAGTCCATATTCGATTTTGACTCGATATGATACATATTGTATGACAGTGTGACACAACTCGATTATGACTTGAGTTGGTTCAAATGACTCACTTCAGCTCATTATTAGATCAATCCATTTTATTTATGACTCGTATAGTCTTGTTAGTTAACCCAATGTGTTTATGACTCGACTTATTCTAATTTGTTACCTATCCATTCAAACTTGTTTAAGTCTCTACTTGATTCAATCCGATTTGAATTCATGAATGACCTAATAACCCAATACTTTATAACTTGACTCGATTATAACATAAGTGAAATTATTTGTTTAATTTACTATGACACTATTCAATCAACCCAATTTGCTTTGTGACCCTTATAATTGTGAGTTTATGACTAAACCCCTTCTAACTTGCTACCCAATTAACCTAACGTGTTTATGATTAGACCAATTACAACCTAACCCGTTCTTCCCCATTATCTAATTAACCAAACTCGATAATGATTAAAGAATTGATTTTAAGCCGATATGATTTATGACCCATTTTCAATTTAACCCAAATCGATTATGACTAGAACCAATAATGACCCGACCCGGTTTTAGCCGATCTGTTTTGAACCAAAAATCGTTTTCAAACTGACACAATTCAACCCGAACCGATTATGACCTGAACCGGTAATGACACAACCTGATTTACCTAATCAGTTTTGAACCGAAACCTGTTTTCAAACCAACATAATTCAACCCAGACCGATTATGAACTGAACCGATAATGACCTAAACCAATTTCACCCGATCTGTTTTCAAACTGAAACCCGTTTTCCAACCGACCGAATTCAACCCAAACTGATTATGACCCGAATCGATAACAACCCGATCCGATTAAGCCCCGTTCTATTTTGAACCGAAACCCACTTTAAACTGGCAAAACCTGTTTTCAAACTGACCCAGTTCAACCCAAACTGATTATGACTCGAACCGATTACTACCCAATCCGATTAAGACCCGATCCGAATATAAACCGCAATAAATATAATCAAACCAAACCGACCAGATAATTTTCAAAACCAATCCGAATCGACCCGTTGTTAATTTTAAACCTTTAAAACCCGACCCATTATAAACCGAAATCGATAAATTCAATCCAAAACTGAACCGTTTACCCGAATTAACACCCCTAGTATTTGTGCACAGATCACATCTAATTGGTACAAAATATAATATGTTAAGTCCGTTAATTGGATGAGTTGCACAAGTTAGTTTTGGAGTAGTTTTATATCTTTAAATAAGGGAATTAATTAAAATTACGATATGAAATTCTAAATCATACCTATATACTCCGTATCGCACACAAATTAAATATTTTAACTTTTAAATAAAAGCTCCCTTTGACGGCTTGACCCCTTGTATATATAAATTGATTGAAATTTAAATGTTGATACGAGCATAAATTTAAAACGCATACAAAATTGTAAAGTCTTTAACTTATTATATGTAAAAAGTTATACTCCATATTTAATTTACAAAACTAATTGTTGGTACATGTGTATTTAAATCAAACTAAATAACATTCTCTTGTTTGTAATGCCTTATATGAACATCACATTTAAAATCTCTTGCTAATTTCTTTTTGTATATTGAGTAGTAGAGTTGATCAAAAGTAGTATGACTCGCTGGCCCGGGTTTGGGCAACTTTCGGACCTGGCCCGTTCCGACCCAACTGGACTTATTAATTTGTTTCGAGCAACCTAAAATATTGTTTTTAGTAAAAAAAATTAGTCCAATCCAAAAGTATGCTATTTTAGCACTAATTAGTGGGATTGGGCACGGTTTTTGGCTCAAACTTTGTATTCGACTAATTATCACGGACTAACAAAGCAACTACGGACTAGTACGGAGTACAGTACCTTACTAAGTTTCCGTAATTACGGAGTATAAAAACTACAACCGTAAAAAGGAAAAAAAAAAGAAAAAAAAAAGCAGTTATCATAGTTTTGTTTTCTGTATTATTTCTGGGCTCTCTCATTTTGGCCCAAACTTGTACAGTTATAAAACCAAGTTCTGTAATAATAAAACTAAAGAGGAATTCCACGAAAAAAAACAGTTATAAATACAGCAGTTTTGTTTTGAGTAAATTTCCACATTAAATCAAACAAAGCATTTCTTAGACTCCAACTGTAGTGTTGCCGCCAAAACCACCACCATTTCCACTCTCCGCCATACTCGACGCCACAAAACCCCAACTCCATGTCTTCTCCGCCGCAATCTCCGCCGAAAAAGAAGCTGAAACATGCCGCCGAAAACGCCGACGAAGAAACCCAGAACAGAGAAACTCCGATGCACATCATATCGAGAGAAACCCAGAACAGTGAAACCCAGAACACTGAAGCCCAGAATAGTGAAACCCAGAACAGAGAAACTCCGATGCACATCATATCGAGAGAAGCCCGGAACAGAGGAATTCCGATGCACATCATATTGAGTGTCTTGAGTGAAACCCAGAACAGAGAAATTCCGGAGCACGTCATATTGAATGAAATCCTTCCAAGACTTCCCGCCGATTCACTTCTCCGATTCAAACGCGTCTGTAAAGAATGGGAGTTGTTAATCTCGAGTTCCGATTTCATCAATGATCATGCGTTCCGCCCAAATCCTCTCTCCTCGAGGTCTGTTCTTTCCATTGCCGATGATTCTTCATTAACTGCTATTGATTACGGAGATCTCAGTTTCAACTAATTTGGCCAGTATTCCTCTGTAAATCCCATTTTCTTGATTGGTTCTTCTAATGGCTTAGTTTTGTTGATTTCTGCTCATGCTCGAAAGAGTGAATTGCGATGTCCTTGTTTACTTCTTATTTTTAAATTTGATTTTAGGGTTTTTAATCCTGTTGTTGGTGGTCTTGGTATTACTATTTCCCCTCCTCGAAATTTTCTTCGGAGTACTCATTATGCTAAAAAGGATTATAGTTTTGGGTTTGGTTATTCTTCAACTCATAAGGAATTCTACATTGTTGCCATTAATTTTCTAGTGTCCTTGAATCTTCCTGTGGTAGTTGTCTTTGTATACAACTGTAGTACCGAACGATGGGCTGTAAAGCACTCAAAGCCAACAGCAGCGCCAAAGAATGAGGGTCAAAGACTGTCAATTGTACTTGAAGATGTTTGGTATAAACATTGTGGAACACTGGTGAATGAAGCTTTACATTGGGGTGCTACTGTAATAGGAATGAATGTCCAATGCATTGTTGGCTTTGATTTGGTTAGTAAGAAGTTGAAATTTATGAATTTGCCGTATGTCCAATTTGGGGAACCTGCATTTTACATGCGTTCTGCTTTTAGTTTGTGTTGTTTGAATGATTGCTTGTGTGCTTGGGCTTATTATGACGGTGGAAGTAGAGTTGATTTGTGGATGATGAAAGAATATAGTGTGCGGAAATCATGGACCAGGTTGTTTTGTGCTGACATGAAAGCTACATTCTGGTATTTTTTTGGACTTACCAAGCCTAGAGAGGTTATGATGTTCGATTTTGGTAGGCTACGATATCTTGACTTCAGCAGCATTACACCAATATGGAGGGATTTTTTTTTTCCAGGCCAAGTGAAAGCAGTGAATTATGTTCAAAGCCTTTTATCACCTCATGCAATAATCAAATATGGTGAAGAGAATGAATGACATACATTGGGAGAATTTGTTGCTCGTGTTGGTAAATACATTGTGAAACTTAGTTGCTCGTGTTGGTAGATACATTGTGAGAATCAGCTAGTTGCTCGTGTTGGTACATACATTTTGAAAATTAGTTGCTCGTGTTGGTAGATACATTGTGAGAATTAGTTAGTTGCTCGTGTGGTTGAGACAAGCATTGTCAAAAATAAGCTGTTTGTGTTGGTACTTATGTTGTGAAAATTAGTTTCTTGTGTTGATACAAACATTTGTTATTGTTGTATTCCGTTGTAAACCTTACCAGAAATGATGATGCAAATCTGCAAATAAGACTTAGCTACTTGTCTTGAATGATAAATCAGTTTGCCTGAATATTGCTATCATAAGCTGCAATGAATATGAGTTGTTTTCCTGGTTTGATTAATATCATGTGGTTTCTCCTATCTATTTTTACTGGAGATATGATTACAATGTGGTTCAACTAGCACTTGCTAATTTGCTATTACAGCAAAATCAGAGAATAATATGAGTTGGATTTGTTTTAGCAAATTTCTTGTTTTTATGTTATCTTGAAGCAGGCATATTACTAAGATAACAATAATCAGGTCATTTGTATGTCCACAACAATCTTTCAGCACGCAGATACCCCTCAACCTAGACTGATCTTGTATTCTTGTCCATAAACCACCATCTATATATATATATATGAGGCAACTATGACACTTAGTCACTTTGTTTTGCTATTTGTTACACATGAAGAAGTGTTGACAAATAATCATTTACGACACACAGTATTATGTCCTCCAACCCCTTAGCCTTCCCCCATAGCTTATCCTGTCTTAAATCCTCGTATGATTACCTGTTTAGTCTCTAAGCCCGTGAGTTGTCATGCTATTCCATGATTTTAAGCTTTGTTTTACCAAATTGCATCATATTTGTTAGACCCTTTAACCAGGAAGCTTTCCCACAGTATACTATCATCATCACTTCCAAAGTGTTCCTCATGCTCAACTATGAAGCTTGTTAGAAAGTCACTATAGGAAATGATGGTACAGAAACATTTGTTACGTTCTTGATTGATTCATGTTCAAGTATAGGTCTGTTAAGTGTATGACTTTTGCATTTTCAATCCTTGCACTGATCTTAATCACCAGTTTCAGAAGGTTTTGAAATGTTAGTCCCTGAAACCTTTGAATAGGGTATTATTTGATTGTTGGTGTAGATAATGTGTTAAGTCAAGCCCGTTCATTGGATGAGCTGCACAAGTTTGTTATGGAGTAATTTCATATCTTTAGTAAGGAAATTAAAATTACGATATGAAATTCTAAATCATCCCTACATATATTGTACACAAATTTATATAAACGGAAATTAGATATTTTAGCTTGGAATTAAAAGCTCTCCTTGACCCCTTGTATAAGTTGATAAAATTTAAAGGTTAATACGAGCCTAAGTTTGAAACGCATACTTAAATAATAGATTAAGTTTTTGAATACCCAATTTAATTTTTTGTCTTGTTTTGGGGCAACTTGCAATTTTTTTGCTTAACCATGGTGCTACATTCTTGGATGACCCCGTTATTGTAACGTTGCGTTTTACACTTGTTTCTCGATGATTTCAGAGTTAATTTCCCCTCTTTTAATCAATCTTATTTAGCTTACATTTTTGTTAAGTGTTTGAGTTTCCGATTTTCATTACTATGCATTAGGAATTTCGTTCGTGTGAGGCCTCCTAATATTTGCTTCCTCCATTTTGTAATCATCACAACACTCGTAATAATTGCAACACAATCTTATTTGATACTTTTTAATTATTTCTCTCTCTTTCACTAAACTCACTTGCACACATATGTTATTAAACCCCTCTCCTATCAATCTCACTTGCACTAATTTAATTCTCTATACTAGTAACAATTTAATACTTCATATCCCTACAAATTATAGAGGGAGCCCCATTAATCAAATTGATTTTGTAAATCAGTCATTTTCTATCTTTCTAAAAAAATAAAATGGAAAAAAATAGATGAAATGACAAAACTGTCCAAAATTATTAAATGGTATGAAATTCGTTCCTAAAATCTCTTAAAATTCAGAGAGAAGCTCTAACTATTTAAGCAATCCCTCACTTTTTTTCCCCACTCTCATTAGATGATATAAATTGAATGTAGTACCCCTAATTTACAAATTTATAAAAATCAAAACATATAAACTTGTAATTTCTCCCAACTATACTATACTTACTAACTATGGAAGTATGGAGTACACACTAGCAGTCACTACACTCACTAGTCACTACTCAAGGTTAAGTAATGACGCATAGTTGCTATTTACATAGCAAGTAAATAGCAGCTATAAGATAAAAGAGTGATGAATTTTATTTTTCTTCCATTGGTACAAATATTGTACCACCGTTATCTATAATAGCTATAAATAGTATTACTAAAACAACTTATACTCTAGTAGTATAAAATACATGTATCATAGTACATTAAATATACCACTGTAAGTATAATAGTACATTTAAAATACCACTGTAAGTATAACAATACATTAAAAATACCACTGTAGCAATAAAAAATCACAAAAATTAAGTGAATTTACCAATTAGCCCTCCTATATGCACCCCAAACAAATAGCAACTATGCGCCTAGTTGCACTCACTACTCACTACCATGTTAAATCAAATGTTTTTTTTTTTCCTCAATGGTAAAGTGTGCAACTTTTCATGATCATTGGTAACCAATAATTAATGTTACTAATCAAATGGTAACTTTAATGGTAATAAAATATCATTAAATCATTAACCATGGTTTATATTGGTTAAATAACAATGATTTGACTTAAGTACCCTTAAAAGTGTTTTCCTCCAATTTTTTTCTTCTGCTTTCCTTACCCATTCGATTGCCCCTTTATAAAACCCCTAATCTTCTTCCATTACTCAATTTCTCCCGATTGTAGGGTTCTTCCTTCTCTATCAACTTTCTAGATTTAGGGTTCATGGAAAAATCAAGTTCATCTTCTCTATCAATGAGGGCTATCACCATGGACGACAAGATTGCGTAGGTGAAGCTCGTATCTTGCAACTGTTCTCCCCCAAAAACCGCTGCGGTGAAGGTATCTGAAACCACAAAAAACCCACGTAGGTTATTCTTCAAGTGCAGGGGTTGCGATTATTTTGCGTGGTTGAAGGAAGTTGAAGGAGGTTCATTTGGTTCTGCGAAGAAGAAAGTAGAAGAATTGGCCAATTTCATGAAAGTTTTTGTGAAAATGGCTCTAATATTGTATTTTGTGTTGTTGTTTCTAAGTAATGTATGCATTCAATTTTGGTATGCTATGCTTTATGCATGTAATATGATAGGCTTTATGCCATTATCAATAAAAAAAGTAGCTACTTAATTCCAGAAATTATTTGCATCCAATTGTTGAGACTAGCAATCAATTAACAGTATATTAGCAAATCTGAATGAAAACAACATGATACCATTGCAAAATTCTAGACAAAAACATAAGTTAATTGCAACCCAAGCTTAGATTAAAATGATACTTATGCAATCCAGCTGAACATAAGTTACTGCCGTATCAAAGCTGAGTCTACTAACTACTGTCTTGTGCTCAGAACATCAAAAACTTAGACAAAATACATCAGGACTTTCAAATATGTTCAAAAACCAACTATTATTGAAAATGATAGTCAACTAAGCAGACTGAGAGGCAGATCGAGACACCCTTCCTTGTTCTTGGTGAGGTTCTTCTTGGGTGTGAAGTTGAAGCAATTGTTGTTGGATCAGGTTGTGACAGAGACACCCCCTTTGGCTTTGATTTTGAGGCCTGCTTCTTCTTCTGCCCTGCAGTTACAACCATTGCTGCTTTTTCTTTCCCAGTAAGACCACCTTGGCATGTCTGACAGTAATAGCCATAATTTTGGCATTTGCTGCACTTTACAGTCTTGGACCTTTTTCCCTTTGCCTGCTCACCTTCCTCCATTCTTCTGTTTCTTGCAGGTCTGCTAATACCTCTTTTCATATTGGATGGGGCTATTTCTGGATAGGTATTGTCAGGCCATTCTTCAACATCTGGGATGGACTTCATGGTGTTGGCATAAGTCAGCCAATACCTTCTCAAGGAGTACCATTCAGTCACATACTTCTTAGGATCTTCATTTGCATGTAAAATTGCCCTCATAGCATGCTTGCATGGCAATCCAGACAGTTGCCATACATTACAGGAACAAGTTTTCTCCTTTAAGTTGCTAGGTAGCACAAATTTCCCATCCAACACCTCATACTCTCCATCTCTAGCCTTCAAACATTTACAGGTCCTTGACTCATCCTTCCAACTCTCACATTATTCCCTTCTAGTAGCCAGTCTCACCAAGTCAGTCTTCTAATCCCTGCAATAACAGTTAAGCAAAAGATGGTTATTATGTTGTATTAATGTAGCATAAGATCATTAACATAAGCTATTTTGAACGGGCTACTTCAAGTAAAGTAAGAACAGGTCTGCATCTATTAATGCCCAAAGTTGCATTAAAGCTTTCAACAAAACTAGACTTGTTCACATTACACTTTATGGCAGAGTTGAAAGCATGCTTAGACCATGTTGATTGGGGTCCAACTTTTGACAACCAAACTAATTCTAATGGGTTAGCCTTCTATAGAGATTCCATTGCCTTTCTAAAAGTAAAAAAGGGTTGTAAACCCTAGCTGCTTTCCAATAGAGTGAGAACATAAGTAGGCCGGGAAATTCTCCCTTGAAATTCTTGACTAGATGCTTGCAGCAGTATCTTCTTCCCACTTTAGGCCGCAAGTCAGTTAGTGCCACTTGTATTCCCTATATTGCATTCAAGAGATATAAAGAACAATCAGCAACAACACTTATTTAACTTTGAAGTAGAGATAAAGAGAAGTAAAAAATTATACCTTTTGCCTATCTGAGATGATACACCATTCATCTCCTCTGCCACTGTCCTTCAATGCATTTTTGAGATGCCAGATGAAAAACTTCCAGCTTTTAGTGTCTTCAGCTCTAACTATTGCCCAAACTATTGCCCAGGCAACTTAAAAAAGTTCATTGTTTGCATTCAAAGCCACAGCTGACAGTAGCACTCCACCAAAGTTTCCCTTTAGGTGAGTTCCATCAACCCCAATTATGCTTCTACAACCAGCAAATAGCCCATCCATTGCAACCTTAAATGATATGAAAATGCTACTAAATGCTAATGGCTCTCTGGATGGTTGGGAGGATTCTAAGCACAGAAAGCTAAGGAATTCGGGTTCATAGCTCTAATCACATCACAATAGACTAGCAACAACTTGTAAGACACATGAAGCCCTCCATGGATTTCTTCTAAAGCCTTAGCTCTCACTCTGTACAACGTTGACTGGGCCATTTCTACACCAAACCTTTTCCACAAAAGCTCATTCAATAACTTAGCAAATGTCATTGTTTGCTCTAATGTCATCCATTAACACACTTTTTACCCATCTAACATTAACCATGTTGTTCCTAGTCTCTAACCCTTGACAGGTGTGTTCAGAGTTTTGAATCAGTTTAATAGCCCAAGTGGTACCATCTGGCAGAACAACAACATGTAATCTCCACCCACAGTGTGCATCAGAGCATCTAACAATGTATCTAGAGTTACTAGCATAGTAAACTATTATAACAAAACCACACTGAATACAGTAGTCCCTTACAACATCCCTAAGATGTTGTTTGTTAATGAATAATTGCCATGGTTTCGACACTATTCTCCCAAAACCCATTTCCTGATACACTTCCCCATTATTGTAAAGCTTACAAAAACAATAGTCCTCATCCTTCTCACACTCAAAAACAGGCTCATCATATAGATCAAAAGCATCTTCAATCATTGGACCATACTCATCCCTAGATAGGTCATCTTCAGTGTCAACACTCTCATCAGTATCATCTCCATTATCACTCTCATTTGGTTCATAACCCCCATCATCTTCATCCTCATATAAAGACAAACTTTGATTGTCATACCCATTACTGTCATCACCCAAGCTAACTAAACTACTTCTCTTTCTACTCCTAACTGCACTCACAGTGTTCAGATCACTATCACCACCAGATGCACTCACACTAATCACAATTCCCTTCCTCGATCTTTGCAGTAGTCCTAGGAAGTTTTCTCCTAAATATGGCTGGTGCCCTAGAAGACTTAGATGATTCAGAATTCTGACCTCCACCAAACTCTCCAGTGTTTGCTAAAGGTGCAATCATAGATTTGGGTAGAAGGCTGGGGTTGTGTTTGTTGGAGACTGATTTGAGTGGGCATTTTGTTTGAGGTTCATGTTCTGACTGAGGGAGTTCAACATATAAGGGTTGATTTTCATGCCAGGGTGTTGGTGAAATGTTGAACCAACTTCCAAGGGCATTACCCCTCCCTCTCCCTCTTCTAGTTCCCCTCCCTCTCCCTCTTCCCCTTCCTCTCCCTCTAGCTGCTCCCCTAGCTCCCCCTCTTCCTCTTCCTCTTACAGGTTCATCACTCAAAATATCAGCCCAAGTGTCTTCAATATTAGTGCCCTCAGGTATATAAGCTTCAACTTGGGGTGTAGTCTCTGGGGTTTTCAAACTAGCAACACGCCTCTGAAATTCTTCTTCACTAATGACCTCAGCTTCAATAAAAGTGTTCTGTCTCCTTCTAGGAATCAGTTTAGGTCCCCTAGCACTAGCACTTCCTATTTCAATAAAACTTCTTTATCCACTTCCATGGGTGTTTTACCTAAAATAAGTGACCTAGCAGCTGCCACAACCTGAGTATCCTTAAGACCATCCACAACCCATACATATATTTCCTTCTCGTCAGGTAGGTTAGCAAAACATCTTCATCAATCAACATCAATTTTCAGTGAAACATGCTTCATTTTATGCACATATTGAAAAGTCGGATTTTGGGGTGTTTCTACATTCTTTTCCTTAGCCTTCTCCTAATACTCAACTATTAGGTCTATTAAGTTCACCTTATCAATATCGTCAACATTAACAGCAACATCTATACCCCTATATTGAAATTGTAACACTACAACATCACCCATTCTACAACAACCACACAAACAAAACAACAACAGCAACAAACACTATAATAATTACACCCTAACCCCTAACACACGAAAACAGAGCATAACATAATACAATGCAAAAAAAATATATATATACCTGGCTTTGATTCGAGTTATATGTTGTAATTTTCTTCAGATAAAGGCGAATTGAAGCCTTACGTAGAGGATTTGATTGAAATCAACCTAGCAAACCTATGAATCTTCTTCAACAAGTCCCTTGAAATTCACCAAATAATCCCCCGAAAACCCCCTAAATTGTTAGTTTAAACCCTAGAAATTAACCCAAAACCCAGATTTCAGAAAGTCGCTCGATTTTTTTGGATGGATGTCCTTCGCAAAATGCATGCTCTCCAATTCTCCGAGTTCAAGTTTTCTAAGTGAGGAAGATGAACGATCAACCCTCTTCACTTAATTTGATCAGACACAGTTGGTTGGAGTAAATTAAATGGGGGCAAATGTGTCTTTTTGCAGCCCAAGACCTAAACCATGGTTAACGAGTTAAGCATTAGTTAAACTAAAGTTACCATATGATTAGTAACATTAATTATTGGTTACCAATCTAATATATATATTTTTTTTTCCAAGATTTTAGAGACCCACCTTGGATTTTGAATTTTAAAAAATTAATAGAGCACCATGTAGGATTAGTATTTTTAGAGCGTTACGTATAAGATTATGCCACGTAGGATTGTTACTTTAAAGCGCCACGTAAGATTTAAAATAAAAATTTAAATTTATTATAAAAATAAAATACTATCTTTTTAAATTGGAAATTTTATATAAAAGAAAAGAAAAAATTTATTTTATTTTGTATATATAAAAAAAATACTAATAAACTTAAAAATGAAATTTACATTCAATTGATATTTAAAAAATTGGATTAGATAAAAAAATAATGAAAATATGACAAGTGATTATAATAAAATATTTTATAAAAATATACTAATAAAAAAATAAAATCACATTCAATTGTATAAAGGGGATTTTTTTCCCCGAGATTTTAGAGAGACACCTTGGATTTTGATTTTTGTAAAATTATTAGAGCGCCATATAAGATTAGTATTTTTAGAGCGTTACGTATAGGATTATTCCACGTAGGATTGTTACTTTAAAGCGCCACGTAAGATTAAAATTAAAAATTTAAATTTATTATAAAACTAAAATACTATTTTCTTAAATTGAAAATTTTATCTAAGTAAATTTTTTTTATATATATATATAAAATTACTATTAAATTAAAAAAAAATGAAATTCACGTTCAACTGATTTTTAAAGAAAATTGGATTAGATAAAAAAAATAATGAAAATATGACAAGTGATTATAATAAAATATTTTATAAAAATATACTAATAAAAAAAAGTCACATTCAATTAAAAAAAAACAGTTTTGGATTTGATACAAAAAAAAAAAGAAAAAAACCATTGAAATTAAAAATATGTCCCTTCTCTTTTTCTAGCCAAAAAAATAAATAAAAATGTTCATTATTTATCATTTATTCGTCTTAAAGATTAACTTTTGCGTTAACAAAATTTATCATATCTAATAATAAACTTTATTATGAATTGATTTTATCTTATGATTTGTTATTATTATAAATAGGCAGTATTTTTAATTGAATAAAAAATTTGTAATTTCTTTTAGAATTAAATAAATCAAATTAAATGCCATAAGTAAAATTGGCGAATGAGATTTTAAAGTCTAAACTAATTAAATATAAAATATTATCTTTTAATATTAGGAAATTCATCTAATTATATAATGAATGAGTGAAAATTCACAATTTATTTTAAAATAAATAAAATAAAAATATTAAATGAGAATATTATATACTACATACAACGGATAAATAAAGTAACAATTTTTATCACAAACATATGGAAAAAATATAAGTTGCAATAAAATTTAAATAAACTGTGCATAAGTTGCATACATTACCATTGAGAAAAAAAAAATTGTGGTTACCAAGGAGAATTTCCCTTTCTTTTAGGGAAAATCAATAATGCATTTTTAACTAAAAGATGTACTAAAAAAAAAACCCTCCAAAAATTAAATCGTTATAAATAATATGATTTTCTTATGAAATAAAAAAAAGCATCTAATCTAATTAATAATCAACTCCAATGTTGCCGCCAAAACCACCACCATTTAATGTAATTAATAATTTTTATGTTATTTACTTATGAATTTAAAAAAATATTGATGGCAGAGCTGTGTATTGACTAGAGGTGATCGAACTTGGCCCGCCCGATTTTGGGCAGAATTTTTCGGCCCGAAAATTTATTTTTTTTTGGCGGGTTTGGGAATGCATTTTTATGCATATTTAATTGTTATTTAGGCCCAGCCCGAAAATGGCCCGAAAATCCCGCACGGCCCGACCATTTTGGGCGGGTTTAGGCACAAAAATTCTCGCACGAAGCCTGGCCCAAACCCGGCTCGACCAGAGAAGTGGGCATAATTTCTTAGCTTCGGTCGGGCCCGAAATTGGCCCGCCCCGCCCAATGATCACCTCTAGTATTGATATATGTGGCGGTCAAAGTGATCTAATGCACTTAAAAACTGAAGAGAGTTGTGTTGTTATATGTTATTAACTAATTAAAAATCGATACTCACGACCCGCCCTTATGACTATCTAAAAATAAAAAATAAAAATATTATTGATATCAACCCATCTACTCGGTATTCTGGGCTTCCTCATTTTGGCCCAAACTTGTACCACATTAAAGTATAAAACCACAGATTGCAGTTATAAAACCAATTAACCAAATTTCTGTAATAATAAAACTCATTTTGTTTTCAGTAATTTTCCATATTAAATCAAACAAAGCAGCTCTTACACTCTTACTGTAGTGTTGCCGCCAAAACCACCACCATTTTCTCTCCTCCGTACTTGCCGCCGCAAATCAACCCCTAAAACCCAACTCCATGTCTTCTCCGCCGGAAAACGCTGACGAAAACGCCGACGAAGAAACCCAGAACAGAGAAATTCCGACGCACATCATATCGACTGAGATATTGAGTGAAACCCAGAACAGAGGTATTCCAACAGACGTCATATTGACTGAAATCCTTCCAAGACTTCCCGCCAATTCACTTCTCCGACTCAAATGGGTCTGTAAAGAATGGCAGTTGTTTATCTCGAGTACCAAGTTCATCATTAATCATGCTCTCCACCCTAATTCTCTCTCCTCGAGGTCTGTTCTTTTCATTGACCCTTATACTTCATTAACTGCTTTCGATTTTGGAGATTCTGGAAATGTTCGAATCATCAAATTTGGCCGATATTCCACTACAAATCCCATTTTCTTGATTGGTTCTTGTAACGGTTTAGTTTTGTTGATTTGTTCTCATGCTCAGACTGGTTTAGTGCTATCTCCAAGTTTTCTTCTTAATTATGGATTTGATTACAGGGTTTATAATCCTGTTCTTCAGCTTGATATTGTGATTCCCCAACCTCTAGGATTTGTTCTTCGGAGTGATCATTTTGCTGCACAGGATTGTAGTTTTGGGTTTGGTAGTGTTTCAACCCATGACTGTCTGGAATTCTTCATTGTTGCCGTTAATATTCGAATGGGAAATGTTGCTGTCTTTGAATCTTCCACGAGAAGATGGGTTATAATGCACACATTGCGAAGGAATCTGCCAATTTTATTTCAAGATGCTTGGTATGTACATAGTGGAACACTGGTGAATGAAGCTTTACATTGGGGTGTTACTGTAGGAATGAATCTCAGATGCATTGCTGTCTTTGATTTGGTTAGTCGGCGTAGGATCAAATTTATGAAATTGCCGTATGCCTATTTTGGGGAACCTGATTGTCCTGATATTGTTCGTTCTGCTTTTAGTTTGTGTCGTATAAATGATCGCTTGTGTGCTTGGGCTTATTATAATGGTGGATATGTAGTTGATATGTGGATGTTGAAAGAATATGATGTGTGGGAATCATGGACCAGGTTGTTTTGTTATGATCTGAGATGTGAATATTGGAATTTTTTTGGACTTACCAAGGCTAGAGAGGTTATGATGTTCCATTTTAATTGGCTAGTACTTATTGACTTCAGCCGAGTTCCACTTGTATCGAGGCCTCTTTATTTTGGACACCAAGTGACAGCAGTGAATTATGTTCAAAGCCTTGTATCACCTTATACAGTTTTTCTTTACGGTGAACAGAATGGATGACATACATTGGGAGAATTAGTTGCTCGTGTATACACTGTGAGAATTAGTTGCTCGTGTTGGTTCATACATTGTGAAAATTAGTTGCTCGTGTTGGTATATACATTGTGAAAATTAGTTGCTTGCATTGAGTCGTAGAGACAAACATTGTAAAAAATAAGCTGTTTGTGTTGATACTTATGTTGTGAAAATTAGTTGCTTGTGTTGATAAATACATTTGTTATTGTTGTTATCCCATTGTAAACCTTATCAGAAATGATAATGCAAATCTGCAAATAAGACTAAGCTACTTGTCTCAAATTATAAGACAATTTACCTGAATATTGCTATCATGAGCTGCAATGAATATCAGTTGTTTTCTTGGTTTGATATATATCATGTGTTTCTCCTATCTATTTTACTGGAGATATGATCACAAAATGGTTCAACTAGCACTTGCTAATTTGCTGTTATAGAAAAACCAGAGAATGTTTAGCGAAATTTCTTGTTTAAATGTTATCTTGAAGCAGGTATGTTACTAAGGTAACAAATGTCAAATGTGCATTGTTTTTCAATTGATGTAATTACTTAGTTGCTACATCAATTTTTGGCTGCTTGAAGTGTAGCAGACTATATGTGTCATGGATGAAGAATATGATCATTACTTGACAGCTTTTGTTGTGTTCGCAAGAGCTTGATAAGCAGATTCTAATTGTGCAAAACAAGAACTCTTCTAGGGCTTCTATATTTTGTTAAAATTTCAAGGATGACTAGGGTGTCTTTGAAGTTATTAAGCTCTCTTTCTCTTTCTCTTTCTGTTGCAGTCATCAAGCAGAAATTCATTTGATTTAATAATGGATTTATATTAGCTTTAAATTATCAAATTCAGGGTTGTGACTTTTTGACAAGAGTAGTGTAGGAACAAGTAAGATTTCTGGTTTACTTTCATATATTTTTTGCCCCCCTTTCCTTAATTCTGTCTATGTCAAATCGTTTTGAGTGGTCTTGGTAATTGGGTTTTGTGGGTTTTAAGCTTTTGGTGGTGTCTTCTTTTATTGAGGTTACTAGATGTACACACTGCTTGATTTAAAAAGCAGAGTATGTGGATCCTGAAACTCTTTCAGAGCGCCTTAATGATGCTATTGGTACTATTATGAGATATGAGCACTTAAAATGGTAAATTTGAAACAAGTTTAAGAGTGACTTCTGGTTGGAGTTAGGATTGGGATCATCTTATTGATTAACTGATACTGGGAATTGGATGAATAGAAAAAAATTCAGGAGCAACTACGACAGCAATTATATAGAAGCTGAGGTATGATTATATATTAAGGTGGCCATCATCCATAAGAAATAATAAGGAATTTCGTTAGAGAAAGTAATTGATATAAGCTGAAGCTATAGGTGCAAATATGAGCCAGCTATAGTTGTCTTAAGAATAAAACACAGCTTTTATGCTCCATTAGACCTCAACCAAGTACATCAGCTAATTAGCTTGGTTACTGCTCTGACTTGGGTATAATTCCATGAGTCGGATCCTTCAAATTTACAATCCAAGGACCTGGGAACACTTTTAAAGGGAGTTTGATTCAGTCTTTGGTATAAGGTGTGGAGTGAGCCATACTTAGAGACCCATAGGTTTGAGATGAGTGATACCTAGAAACCCATACCTCTTTAGTCCAATGAAATTATGATTTTACTCACCATTTCAAAAGTAAAAGGTAAGAACAATCTTTGATTCTTTTGGTTATGGTGGTTGGGATTACATACAATATTGGTCATGAATCATGGGGTTAATGTTGTCGAAATAGAAGTGTGAAGGCATATCCGCTTATATGATACTGATACATTGGCTTATTGCTGTTGTTGTTGCTGTTGTTGTTGTTGTTGTTTTTGTTGTTGATTCTAGGCATAGAGGTCTTCTCCAAACCCACCTCTCTCCGGTATGCCTTGGGGGTTTGGGGGAAACCTGGATATAGAATTGCAAAAAGTTGAACAAACAACTATATATCCATAGTGGCAAGAATCACGGGGGAGGCCAAGGCCCACCCTTGACCTCCCTTTGCTCCGCCACTGATTTTAGCTATGCCTTCAGTTTATTGTAGGAGTCATCTTATAATTTTTCTTTCCTTTTCTCTGTTTTTTTTTTTTTTTTTTCTTTTAATTGTTTCAAAATTTGATGATTCACGTCCCTTAATTGCTTCAAAATTTGATGATTGACGTACAAATATGATACATAGTGGCTAGAAAATTAATGCTGCACCAAAATAGCAACCTCTGCAGTGCTGTGTGAATATAAAGTGCAATGATGCAGATAGTTTGAGAACTTTTCTTTTCTTTCATTGTAGGAGTCTTCTTATAGTTTTTCTTTTCTTTTTATGGGTTGCTTTTAGAAGGGAGGAGTTGGATTATGTAATGAGAACTTAAATTCAATAGGAAATGATGTGTTATCCTTATAAATTTGTTTTGGGGAGGAAGAAGTGAAGAACTAAGAAGAAAAGATGTAGCAGTAACTCTTCATAACATCTAATCAACCATATATAGGAAATTAGGGGCCTCGTGCTTTCTCTTTTGTAACTCTACAACATGTTACCTCCTTCCGTGAAATCAATAGTTTTTCTTTTGAAAGATAGTAATTGTATGCTTTGCTTGCTTCCCTGTAGACCCTGTGCTTATGGATCATGCAGCCATACAGGGGTTCAGCAGTTCAGCGCCGCATGGCCTGGCAGCCAACTACCTTGCCTCCTAGGAATGTCTTATAGATCATACAGGGGCTAAGTTTAGAGATTCTGCTTCAATCGCCTTGTCTTGTGCATGTCTTTTCGGCTTCATATGATCTTAGATCAGTTTTCAAGCGAAGAAAGTTTAAAATTCTGAGGCTAGAAGTTCTTGTAGATAGAATAGGTTTTGATGTGTATCATAGAATTTGTAGTGTTAGTTCTAGTAAAGGCTAGAGACTTAACTTGGCTAAGGGGCATTTGCCTAGGAGATTAGTATCCTCAGTTTTGGTTCGTGTGATTAATAAAATTGACCTTGATCTACGCCTTTACTGATGATGAGCTAATGTTAAGCTAGCTGACTTCGGCCTTGATCCTCCGAAATATTTGCATACTGGTTCCAAGGGCCATAAATATGCGGTGAATTATGTTCAAAGCCTTGTATCGCCTCGTGCCTTTAGCTCGGGCCAAAGAGAATAGATGATAATACATTTGTTATTTCCTCTGTAAATGATAGTGAATAAACTTAGTTGTCTACTTAGTTACTGCAATGAATAGTATCATGTGTAAATACTTTCATCTATCTCTTTTTATTGTAAATAAGATAAATTCAATTAGAATAAAATAAGTCAAGTCAAGTCAAAATCATATAAGGACTTGTGTCACTCCCTCCGTATTTTATTATGTGCTTTATTTTTGGGATTTGTTAAACATCACCCGCAAATTACTACATAAAGCCCACAAAATTAATATGATTTGACAATTTTGCCCCTTTGTCAATTTTCTCTGAAAACGAAAATTTCACTCACCGAAAAATGTGGAGTCGTACGGGGACGCCGGGGGAGGCCGGAGATCCGGGGAACGACGAATGTCATCGGAAAAGATGGCTGGCGTCCGGAGGAGCCGCCACCACTGTGGCACCGGCGTCTGGCCGGGACGCCGCCACCATGGCGGTGGCGCCTAGCCAGGACGCCTGTACCATGGTTGAGGCTTCCAGGCCAGGCGCCATGACCATGGTACTGGCGTCCCGGCTAGGCGCCACCACCATGGTGGCGGCGTCCCGGCCAGGCGCCGGTTCCAGGGTGGTGGTCCGGCCTTTTTTTTATTATTATTATTATTACATTTAACTTGCTTAAAATTCAAAATAAAAAATTTTCTCAGTTACCAACAAAAAAAAACAAAATATTAAAAAAAAAAAGAATTTTTTTTCTCAATTTCCAACAAAAAAAAACACAATATTACACAAAAAAAAAAAGAAAACAAAAAATTATCAATTTCCAACAAAAAAAAAACATGATATTACACAAAAATAGAAAAAAAAAATCTTAATTTCCAAAAAAAAAATATTATAAAAAAAAAATAAAAAAAAAAATAACAAAACAACCACGGCAAGGTGGTGGGGCGCCTGGCCAGGACGGCCGACGGCTGGTGGTGGCGCCAGGTCCGGCAGCCACGTCCACCGGCCTGGCGTCTGGGCAGGACGCCCAGCCACAGTGACTGGCGCCTGTCCCAAACGCCACTCACCGTGGCTGGGCGTCCTGCCCAGACGCCAGGCCGGTGGACGTGGCTGCCGGACCTGGCGCCACCACCACCTTGCCGCCACGAGCCTCGACATCCCCGTACTTTGATTTTTATTGAGGTTGTGTTTTTTTTTTAAGGTCAAGGGCGATATTGTAACTTCAATATAAGTTTGCGGGCGATGTTTAGCAATCCACTTATTTTTTCGGATACATGAGTTTTAAGAGAATTAATAGAAAGTAATACTTCCTCCGTCCACGATTATCTGCACCAAACGTCCTTTTTGCGGACTCATAGGCAAAAATTTTAGTGGAGTTTAATTAAGTTTAGGTGTGTTTATTTAAGTGGAAAAAAGGAGGGAAAGAAGTGGTCCCTTATCTTTTTGTTTTTGGGTGGGTTAAAGTGAGTGGGGAAAAGGTGGAAAATTAAGGGCCCCTTTTATGAGTAGAAAAAGATGGAAAACTGAGTGTAATTAAAGATGTTAAACAAAGTTAAAAAAAATAAAAGTAAGGGTAAGGTGGTCTTTTTACTCTTTAAAATTTACTAAAAGTGGAAAGAAATAAATTTTTTGTACACAATAGAGAGCACCCATTTATGTCAAATGTTGCAGATAATTGTGGGCGGAGGGAGTATTTTATAATAAAAGTGGGGTTGGTTGAAAAGTAAAAAATGTGAAAACACAAAAGTGGTATAAGACTATATACGGAGAGAAGAGAAAATATGAAAAATAATTAGAATATGATATGAGGGGACTACCAGACTACTAATGGGGAGAAAAAAAAATGAAAAATATTGTTAAAAGTTTCCAAAAAAGGAAATAGAGCGAGTAGTAAAAAACGATTGTGAAAGGAAAGTGGAGCAAACAATTAAATATGGAAGGAGTATTTGGTGACTTTATTAGGGTGTGTTCTTACCTTATTGGACTTAACTTATCTGAACTTATTGGATCTTATAAAACTTATTGGAACTTATAAAACTTATTGGAACGTATTAGAACTTATAAAACTTATTGGAACTTATAAAACTTATTAGATCTTATTATTAGATTTAATTTGAAATTATTGAAACTTATTAAACCTTATTTAACTTATTGGAACTTATTAGACCTTATTTAACTTATTGGAACTTATTAAATCTTATTGAACTTATTATTCCTTGTTGAACTTCTTAAACTTTATTTAACTTATTAAACCTTATTGTAACTTACCTTATATTCTTACTTCTTAAAAAAGGCTCCTCAAGGACCTCAACGAAAGGGGTTAGGGGAGGCAAGTTCTTCTACAAGATTTCAATATATCTTCTTTGAGGTTTTGTGAGAATTCTCTTTTGGGGAGTCATAAGAAGTGACTCCAGTTTCCATCTATCACTAGAGCCTGAATAGTTCTCATCTACTCAAGTCCTCGGGAATCCTTAAAAGACGAGAGTTAGCGGGCCAATTGATCACATTGGTATAAAAGTTAGCACCTTCGTGACACATTAGTATAAAAGTTAGCACCGGTGACAAATTGGTATAAAAGTTAACAAATTGCGACAAATTGGTATAAACTTTAACAACTTGTGGCATTTCACCCTTCTTTTCTTGCCGAAGGAATTTTTTTTTATTTTTTCTTTGTTGTTGTTAATTATTATTATTATTTATATTATTATTATTATTATTATTATTTTATTTTAAGTATTATTACTATTATTATCGCATTTAATTATTATTATTATTATTATTAATTATTATTATTATTAAGTGGATACCATTGATTTAGGTGAATGAAAACATAAATAGATGTGTACCATCTTTAACATATGTTAATAGTAGAAAGATAAAAGACAATAGTTTAATATCTTCAAATTATTACAACCACATATCAAAATAGGAACATAATTAGATAAGAGTTTAATATCGTGGTGAATTAACCATCTACTTCTATATGATCCTCATTTTCATCATCTTTATTGTCGCTTTGATCTTCATTGTCATCATCTTCATTGTCGCTTGCCGATCGATTAACCCTCCAAATTTGGCGTGCTATACGATATCGTTTTTTTGCAGCTTTTTTTTATTCTTTTTATATCATTAGTTATTATTATAAATAAAATTATGTATTTAGTATTATTAATAAATATTAAGTATTGCTATTCAAAAAAAATAAAAATATTAAGTATTACTACTCCCTAAAAAAATATTAAGTGTTAATATTATGATCGGTAAATATTAAAAATTCTCATTAATTGTTATTATTATTATTAGTTATTAGTTATTAGTTAATATTAATATTAATTCTTTATATTGTGAATTATTAATTATTACTATTAAAAATTAATATTAATATGAATATTAAATATTAATTAGTATTAATATTAATAATTAAAAATTATTATTATATTTTTAGACACATTAATTAATATGATTATACAATGTTAATATTAACTATTATTACTATTAATTATTATTTTAAAACAGAGCTAAGCAGTGCTCAGAACAGCTCAAAAAAACAAGGCCTAATTATAGCCCGGATTGAGTTCGGGCACGGGTTTTTGGCCCAAACTTATGACAGAGTAATACAGAATTACAGACTATTAGTCTATTACGGAGTACAGTATCTTCCTAAATTTCCTCAACTACGTAGTATAAAAACTACTCCGTACTAAAAAAGGAAGAATAAAACAGTAACTAATGGTTTTAATTGTTTTCTGTAATATTTCCATTTTACACCAAAAATAATCAACTTCAGTGTTGCCGCCAAAACCACCACCATTTTCTCTCTCCGCCACAATCGCCGCCGCAAATCAAACCCCATTAACCCGACTCCATGGCTACTCCTCCGCAATCTCCGCCGGAAAACGCCGACAAAGAAACCCAGAATAGAGAAATTCCGATGCACATCATATCGAGAGAAACCCAGAACAGAGAAACCCAGAGCAGTGAAACCCAGAACAGAGAAACCCAGAGTAGTGAAACCCAGTACCGAGAAACCCAGAACAGAGAAACCCAGAGCAGTGAAACCCAGAACAGAGAAACCCAGAGCAGTGAAACCCAGAACAGAGAAACCCAGAACAAAGAAATCCAGAGCAGTGAAACCCAGAACAGAGAAACCCAGAGCAGTGAAACCCAGAACAGAGAAACCCAGAGCAGTGAAACCCAGAACAGAGAAATTCCGATGGACATCATATTTACTGAAATCCTTCCAAGACTTCCCGCCAAATCACTTCTCCGATTCAGATTGGTCTGTAAAGAATGGCAGTTGTTTATCTCGAGTTCCCAGTTCATCATTAATCATACTCGCCACCCAAATTATCTCTCCTCGAGGTCTGTTCTTTCCATTGCCCTTAATTCTTCATTAACTTATTTCGATTATGGAGATTCTCAAAATGTTCAAATCAACAATTTTGGCCGATATTCCATGACAAATCCCGTTTTCTTGATCGGTTCTTGTAACGGTTTAGTTTTGTTGATTTTTTCTCATGCTCGAAATGGTGAATTGCTATTTCCAAGTGATCTTCTTAATTTTGGATTTGAATACAGTGTTTATAATCCTGTTCTTCAGCTTGATATTGTGATTCCCCAACCTCTAGGATTTGTTCTTCGGAGTGATTATATTACTGCAAAGGATTATAGTTTTGGGTTTGGTTGTGTTTCAACCCATGACCGTCTGGAATTCTTCATTGTTGCCATTAGCTTTCGAATGGGAAATGTGGCTGTCTTTGAATCTTCCACTGGAATTTGGGATATAAAGACATTGCAAAGGAATCTGCCAATTGTATTTCAAGATGCTTGGTATGTACATAGTGGAACACTGGTGAATGAAGCTTTACATTGGGGTGTTATTATAGTAGGAGAAAATATCAAATGCATTGCTAGCTTTGATTTGGTTAGTCAGCTTGGGATCAAATTTATGAGATTGCCGTATGCCAATTTTGGGGAACCCAGTATCATTCGTTCTGCTTTTAGTTTGTGTCGTATAAATGATCGCTTGTGTGCTTGGGCTTATTATAATGGTGGACATGTAGTTGATATGTGGATGTTGAAAGAATATGATGTGTGGGAATCATGGACCAGGTTTTCTTGTGGCGATCTGAGCTGTGAATATCGGTATTTTTTTGGACTTACCAAGGCTAGAGAGATTATGATGTTCCATTTTAGATGGCTAGTACTTATTGACTTCAGCCGAGTTCCACACGAAAGGAGGGTTGTTCATTTTGGACACCAAGTGACTGCGGTGAACTATGTTCAAAGCCTTGTATCACCTCATACAGTTTTTCTTTACGGTGAACAGAATGGATGACATACATTGGGAGAATTAGTTGCTCGTGCTGGTACATACATACATTGTGAAAATTAGTGGCTTGCATTGAGTCGTTGAGACAAACATTGTCAAAAATAAGCTGTTTGTGTTGATACTTACATTGTTAGAATTAGTTGCTTGTGTTGATACATACATTTGTTATTGTTGTTATCCCTTTGTAATAAACCTTATCAGAAATTGATAATGCGTATCAGCAAATAAGACTTAGCTACCTGTCTCGAATTATAAGATAGTTTACATCATGAGTTGTTTTCTTGGTTTGATTTATATCATGTGTTTCTCCTATCTATTTTACTGTAGACATGATCACAAAATGGTTCAACCACCATTTGCCAATTTGCTATTACAGCAAATCAGAGAATTACTAGCGGGTTAGATTTCTTTTAGCAATTTTGTTGTTTAAATGTTATCTTGAAGCAGGTATGTTACTAAGGTAACAAGTGTCAGATCTGCATTGTTTTGCAATTGATGTAGTTACTTAGTTCCTACAGCAGTTATTGGCTGCATGAAGTGTAGTGTATGTGTCATGGTCTCATGGATGAAGAATATTATCAGTACTCATCAGGAAAGAAACCAGGTTTATACAAGTAAGTAGTGATAGGTCATTTACTGCATTAAGTAGAGCGCTGCGAGTATTTGTTAGAAAACTAGTTCTGAATTATCAGTTTATAAAATGTCCTTGTTAGGATTCCCTTCGATGTTCTTAGAATGAATGAATGGTTTAATGTGTCTAATGCTTTTGAAGGAATGAATGGCAAACATTCTCACTTTCAGACATTATACTCTATAATTTGTACTGTTATTGGTTGATTTGTATGTTATTATCTTCTCAATAGACATGGTTGTTTGCAATTTATAATGTGAGAAGTTTTCATTTTTTTCCTTTTTCTATAGTGCGTACTTATATTGTGCTTATTTAATCATGTCTCCCTTTATGTCCAGCACAATCTTTCATCATACACTTAACCCCCTAAATGTAGACTGATCTTGTCCATTAACCACCATCTACATATATAAGAGGCAACTATGACACTTTGTCACTTTCTGTTGCTATCTGTTACATGTGAAGAAGTGTCGACAAATAATAATCATTTATGACACATATGATGCCCTCCACCCCCCTAGCCTCCCCTCCCGCCATAGTTTATCCTGTCTTAAATCCTCGTACGATTACCTATTAAGTCTCTAGCCCTTCAGTTGTCCATGCTGTTTTATGATTCCAAATTGCATCATCTTTGTTGGACCCTCTAACCCGGAAGCTTTCCCACAATAGAAAGCTTGCTAGAGAGTCTTTATAGGAAATGATGGTATAGAAACATTTGGTTTGTGATGCATTCTTATTCGATTCACGCTCAACTATAGCTCTGTTGGGTGTATGACTATTGCGTTTTTCAATTCTTGCACTGATCTGAATCACCATTTTCTGATTGTAAAGAAAAGTTTGGAGGCTGCCTTCTATTTGTATTTGGGTAATGTGTCAAATTTGGACTACTACAAACTTGTAATTCTAGGTCTTGGTACATAAAAAGCTTGTTTATGTCTATTCACTTGTCAATTTAATTAGAATGATTTTCTGGAGTTTTCAGAAGCTATTGAAATGTTAGTCCCTGAAACACTGCATTGGGGTTTTAGGATGATAGTAAACAAGAGACTTGTGATGTTGTATTCGATCTTCAATGTACTAACCTATGTATGTTGTTGTTGTAATGTACACGTAATATGTTCTGTTCTGTATACATACTAGAATAACCCCAAGAATTAACGAAAAATTTAGATTGTAATTACTGGTTGCTTTGACAATATGGAAATTGGAAATATTGAATTTCATCTATTTTTGAAAGCGACTAAATGATTTTTCTCTTGAAAATGTTTCACTTAATGATGATGAATTTTATGAATCTGATGGTTGCTAAAGTTAACATTGTTGGACTTGTTTGTGTTACAGAAATTAAAAATTTGCTACTTAGAAGCCAGCATCATTTCATAGTAATTAATACTTCTGGGATGTTCAATAATTATTTGAGACCTTAGATGTCTTTTACTACAAACCAAGAGTTAACAAGGAATATATTGTAATTGATTTAAATAAATAAAACAAAAAAGATCAACTCCAAAATTGATTTTTTAAGGGTTTTGAATTGGACTGAGAGATCAATAATATTTTTCCAACTTGAAGATAGACAGGCCCGTTTCTAGCTTTTTGATGGCCTATGGGCGGAATGAAAATTTGTGACCCTTATTATCGAGTAAAGTAAAAAAAATGAAAAATATTGTTATTTATTTATTTTTTTTTTTTATTTTTTTTTCTTTTCTTTTTTTGCTTTAAAATGATCGAATTAAAAATAAATAAAAAATGCGCCAACTTACAGTAAAGAAAAAAAAATAAACTTAAAATTAAGTATACAAATCATCATACAAAACATTGTCTACTAGCATTTCTAGATGCAAAATCACCAATAATAGTGTCGACATCAATATGCTCAAACATAATTTTCTCAATGCATAAAATGGCAAGACCGTTTTGTCTTTCTTGTGACATTGATGATCTCAAAAACGTTTTCAATAATTTTAACTTCGAAAAACTACTTACGGCAGATGCAACGGTCCCCGGATCCCATTAAAAATCAAAGAAGAAGAAGAAGAAGACCATTTGCTCTAATTGAATTAGAGTTGTTTTAGGAGATTAATGAGGTTGAAAATTGCAAAATTAAATTAACAGTAAGAAGATTATGATTGAGAAGAGATTATTTTGGAAGGGAAGTTAAATAACCATAAACCATGACAATTAAGATATTTTTGGAGAATTAATTAGGAAAGAATAAAGGAATTGGAAGTTGAAATTTGAGAATATGAACATAATATGGAAAAGGATGCATGCGTACGGCGCATAGTACTTTAACATTAATAATTTATTTATTTTTATTTATTTTTTAAATCTAAAGGACTTTAATTCAAACTTGGGCCTCCTTCATTTGGGCCCTAGGCGACGGCACCTGATGCCCTGCCTTAGGGACGGCCTTGAAGATAGACCAAACAAATTATCTTTGGTTCCACATGGTCTGAACTCTCAAGTGTTACAATTTAATCACTCAAGTAAGATATTGTTTGGTTGGTAAGGTAATTAAAATTTCATCTCTTCAAAAAATAAACAAATTATCTTTGGTTCCTCATCAAAATCACGTCCAGTATTTACCAAGTAACGCCCGTATTTTAAAATAAACATACTAATATACCCCTCCCTTAAATAACCCATCAAAACATTTTTTTTTTTTACTTTTAGCTTTCTCTCTCTTCACCCTTTTCACCTACTTTTCTCTTTCACCCAAATTCAACCCTCAAAATCATCCACCACCATCGGTTACCACCAAATTCAACCACCAAGAAAATAATAATAATAATAATAATAATAATAATAATAATAATAATAATAATAATAATAATAATAACAATAACAATAATTAAATACTTATAATAATTAAATAATATAATAATAATAAACGATATAAATACGATAATAATAATAATAATAATAATAATAATAATAATAATAATAATAATAATAATAATAATAATAAGTAGAAACGCTTGAAATGTTTGAATGTACCATGGACGAAACGCCTGAATATTTAGAATCTACTATGGAACATTCTAAAATTTCAGGCGTTCCTACCATGGTTCGCCTGAAATTTTAGAATGTCCCATGGTAGATTCTAAATTTTCAGGCGTTCCCATGAACATTTGAAAATACAATGTGAGGAACGCTTGCTATTTTTGAATCTACCATGGGACATTCTAAAATTTCAGGCGTTCCTACCATGGTAGATTCTAAATTGTCAGGCGTTCTTACCATGGTAGATTCTAAATTTTCAGGCGTTTCTCCGGTAATTACGAAATAAAAAAAAAAGACAAAGATTCATCCGTACTCACAGGCGACCTCTCCGGTGGCGTCGTCAATTCCGCAAACTCGTCCATTCACCGCTTGTGTAAATCATTTTTGAATAAAGCTTTTTTTTTTTATGAATAATGGTGGCTGGTGGTTGTCTGGTGGCGGTGGCTAGTAGGGTAAAAATAAAGTACGATAAATTTATAAGGGATAAAAGTAAATTAGGGTAAGAGTAAATTAGGGTAAAATTAAAAGGGGGCATGCTTGTAATGTCATGTTAAAATATGGGCGTTACCCGGTAAATACCGGACGCGATTTAGCAATTCACTTCTTAAAATAAGGTATTATTTGGTTGACAAGGAAATTAAATTTTCATAGGCATAAAGGTAGATGCAAATCATGATCTAGTAATTTAATTCCTATCTGAATTTACACCTCCCACATTTTCACTTTTTATTTTTAAAACAACGTAAAACAATACTCACAAAATTTTAAAATATGTACTTAGGGTGTGTTCTATTCACTCGATTTTAACTTATCATATACTTCCTCTGTTACACAAATATTGCAACAAGGATGAAAGTACGCATCCCAAAGCACACTTTATATGTTAAATATCTATAAATATATAAGAGTAAAAATTATAAAAAGTTGATATTGTGAAAGTATTTTTTGAGACGAATCTAACAAGACCTCGTATGACTATATTTTACTTTACGTATAAATCATAATTTGTGGTTAAACAAGCATGATAAATAGTGCAAAAGTCCAGTTGTTGCAATATTACCAGAGCGAAAGAAGTATTATATAAACTTATCTGAACTTATTAAGCCATAAGTTATAATTTATGTTTAAATAACCCTTATTAAAATTTATTTTTCCAAATAAGGTGAACAGAAAATACCCTTAAACAAAAAGCGTAAGCACTGACCTCAAACTAACCTCAAGATTTTGACTTTTATTAACCCCCCTTCCTCTATAAAAAAAATGTACTCCTAAAATCAGTTGACAACTTCAGATAAATAAAAAAAATATATATTATTCTGTTTTTCAAATTCCCAATTAACTCATTTCTCACCACACATCAACATTAATCCCACAACAATGGCATCCTCACCCCCACCAACTCCAGCAACACACTCCAAAACAGAGTCGCCATCGTAACCGGCGCATCCCGAGGAATAGGCAGAGCAATCGCACTCCACTTAGCCTCACTCGGCGCAAAGCTCGTCATTAATTACACCTCTCCATCCTCAAAACCCCTCGCCGATCAACTCGTCTCTCAGATCAACTCCACCACCCGCGCAATCGCCGTCCAAGCCGACGTCTCCGACGAAACCCAAGTCAAAACCCTCTTCAACACCGCCGAACAAACCTTCAACACTCAACCCCACATCGTCGTCACCTCCGCCGGCGTCATCGACTCCAAATACTCCTCAATCTTCGACATCGAAGCTGCCGACTTCGACCGCATCTTCGCCGTCAACACCCGGGGGACATTCCTCTGCATCAAGGAGGCAGCCAACAGAGTTACCCGCGGCGGTGGTGGGAGAATCGTGACGCTGTCGTCGTCGTTAGTGGGGTCTTTGAAGGAGAAGTACGGGGCTTATGCGGCGTCGAAGGCGGCAGTGGAGACCATGACGAAGATATTGGCGAAGGAGTTGAAGGGGAGTGGGATTACGGTCAATGCGGTGGCGCCGGGGCCGGTTGCCACGGAGATGTTCCTTGATGGGAAATCAGAGGAGATGATTAAGAAGGTGGTTGATGAGTGTCCTTTGGGAAGGTTGGGGATGGTAGAAGACGTGGCTCCTGTTGTTGGATTTTTGGCTAGTGATGCTGCTGAGTGGGTTAATGGTCAAGTTATTCGAGTTAATGGTGGTTATGTTTAGGGGTGTTGATTCCGATGTCCGCATCAGGTTCAATGAGGTTGGGTCGGGTCCGGTCAATTTTTAAAGATTAGTCATGCTAAATTATTATGTCAAAATCTAAATCGGATATTTCTCAGTAAACTACATACATTGTGAAACTTATTTGTTTGTAATCCCTCTGTAAATGATAGTGCAAACCAGTGAATAAACTTAGCTACTTAGTGCAATGATTGCGAGTTGCTTTCTGCGTTTGCGTTGATAAAATATCATGTGTCTCTTCTGTTGAGTCCCTTAGGTTTTGAATGATGGTTTTGAATGATGACAAACAGCTATGGGAAACAGGTTTTAATAAGTGTTGAAAACAGTTGGTGGGAACCAGCTAACATAGAACACTGTTTCCCCAGACAAGTTATTACTTACATGAGTTTTCTTATTGAACTAACTTGTCTTTATACAGGGAACAGTTATATGATAAAAGTGTTATGTACTGGTAGGGAACCAGTATGTAATGTTTCCATGGTTGCTACGTGGTAAAGCAGTCACATACTCTTTATTGTGCATTAACCATGTTACATGTGCAGTAGTTGAGTTGATTCCAAGACTTGGAGCATAGAAGCCTTTCGAAGATATTTCGAAGAAAGATTGTTTGCTCATAATAGAAGTATTCAAGGAAGATTCAAGTCTTGAAGATTACATGAAGAAAAGACGATTTATGCTTTAATATGTTATCTAGGTTTTCATGTAATATGCTCCGTAGTATGCTTGCATGTTTGGGTTATATAAGTGCTTAAAAATATATTGAAGTATGATATGAAATCTGGTACAAAGTTGGAACAGGTTTCATAACATGTTTCAATTCAGGGAACCAGGTCGGGGAACCAGGTTCACTGTATTCGAGCTGCCGTTTTGGAAAAAGATTTTACAAAAAGATTTTTTTTCGAAAAGATTATCTTGAAAATATTTTGTGCAGCTGGAAATAAGATGAAATATTCTTGGTTACCTAAAATCTAGGAGTATTTATCTTAATTGATTCTATCTTTGTGATTAAATCAAATAAGATAAAAACTTTCCTAAAATTACATTATATCTTATTCTCTAAGATTGTGTGATTTAAGGAAACTAGGTTTTAGGAATCTAAGCTTATATAAACTCATCTTATTTCACATATTTCGTGTGCCTCTCCAGAAATTAAAAGAGCAATTATTTGAGAGCATATACTTAAGCACTAATCCCATTCATCAAGTCATATACAAGAGCATTCTAGTACTTAAATATTTTCTCTTAATTAGCTTCGTAGAAGTGAGATCAAAGGGGAGTTCTTGATTCTTGTATTGAGTCTTTAACAAAGGGGTTAAAGGCTGGGTGAGTGTTTGTGAGTTCAAACACATTGGGCTTACGAGTGTAAGTCGAGAGCACACTCGGAGTAGAGTGTGGGGTTTGCTGGTTCCCGGAGTAGGGAACAGCAGAGTGTTCTTTGTCTTTGTTTTTCGGAGTAGATTAATAAAGAACTTAGGATAGGAGGACGTAGGCCTGAGTTGGCTGAACCTCGTTAAATTTGTTGTGTTCTTTATTGCTTTATTTTATTTCGTTAAATTTGTTGTCTTCTTTATTGCTTATTTATATTCCGCTGCGTACGGGAACCAGCACAACTGGTTCCTCACACATAATCCGAAAAGAAGCAAAATTAGCCAACGATTACTTAACACTCAATTCACCCCCCCCCCCCTCTTGAGTGCCCATTGAACCTTCAATTGGTATCAGAGCCTAAGCTTCTCGAAAGAGTAACATCTAGAGGAGTTAAGAATGAGTACTCAAGAATTAAGTGCAATCGGTTATGACAACAAGTCACCCAAGTTTAATGGAAATAATTATGCTTGGTGGAAGAACAGGATCCAGAATGTTATCATGGGTATTGATTATGAATGCTGGCTCGTAGTTAAAAATGGTCCTAATATCATTCTCAAGACAGATGTTGAGGGGAACCAGGTTCCCAAGAAAGATAGCGAATTGGTCACTGCTGATTACAAGTTGCTGGAGAAGAATGCTAAGGCAATGTCAATACTACAACAAGCAATAGGTGAGACCGAAACAAATCGTATATCTGGCTGCAGTAGTGCTAAGGAGATATGGGACACCCTTGAACTTGCGTTTGAGGGAACCAGTGAGGTAAAACGGTCTAAAATTGATTTAATCATGTCTAAATATGAATTGTTTGCCATGAATAAAAATGAAAAAATCAATGATTGCTTTCGTAGGTTTATGACTATTGTAAATGATCTTAGATCTCTTGGTAAAAATTTATCTGACGAGGATCTTGTGAGAAAATTATTGCGTAGTTTAACAGATGCATGGACAGCCAAGGTAACAGCAGTATATGAAGCAAAGGATCTGTCTACCTTGTCTCTGGAACAGCTGATTGGTTCCCTTATGACTCATGAGATGCTGATTGACTCTAAGTCTGAGAAGGAACCAGCAAAAGGCATGGCGCTTAAGGGAACAGTAGAAGATGATGAAGATGAAATTAGCATGATTGCAAAAAGATTTGAGAGATCTCTTCGAGATCAAAGAAAGAATTTCAAAGGTAAGCATTTTAAAAACTATAAAAAATCTAACTCTAATTCTTCTTCTACAGGATGTTTCAAGTGTGGAGAAAAAGGACATCTTATTCGAGATTGTCCTAAGTGGAATGACAAACAGTCTAAATCCGGAGATAAACAAGCATACAAGAATGCCATGATAGCTTCCATGTGGGGAGACTCTGACTCAGGGTCAGATGAGGAAGAAGGATCACCCAACTCAGATGTTTGCCTAACTGCCTTTACAAACATCAAGGAAAACAGCACTGGTCCAGGAACCAGAGGGGGAACCAGTACATTCAACAAATGCTTTATGGCAAAGAAGGATGTACTACATGAACGCAAGGTAAGCTTAGAGCAAATTAGAGAAGATATGCATGAATATGATAGAGAAAATATGCTTGCTTGTATTGATTCCTTACTAGATGAATGCTATAAACTAAGTGAAACATACATAACTTGCAAAAGAGAATTAAAAGAAAAACGTGGTGAATGTAATATTGCTATTGCTAGTTGTGATCATCTAGAAGGAGTCTGTTATGAACTAAAAAATCAAGTAGCAGAACTAGAGGTTGAATTGGACAAGTGTAAAGTGGAACTAGAAAAGGAAAGATCGTTTGAACCAATTGATGGTGAAGAGGATCTGACCTCCTGGTTCCCTAGAGACTTATCAACCACTAGTGATACTCTTGATTTTTCAGTAGCTATAAGTAAAGCAAATTCGTGTACTAGAACTTCCTTGTTGAAGGCCTTTGAAACATTGGCTTACAACCTGGAAAACTCTCACAAGGAAATTGCTTCACTTAAAGCTGCACAGTTCACTGTTTCCCCTACAGGTACCAGTGTAGATGTCAGTAATACGATTGATAAGTATGAAAGTAATATTTGTGATTTGCATGCGGAAATCAATCAACTGAAAAAGGACAAGCAACCAGTGGTTGTTGACATGTCTATTGACTCTATGGTTTCAAAGCTTAATCTACAATTCGAAGCTTTAAAAAGTAACTTTGATTTTCTTAAAGAGAAAAACGAATTGTTAACTAAAACACTTGAAACCAGAGAAAAAGAACTTAATGATAGTCATAGACATGTGGACAAATTATTGAATGCTCAAGAATCCTTAAATTACCTGACTTCATCAAGAGGAAACAGAGGAAAAGTGGGTCTTGGTTATATTAGACAGAGAACCAGGACTAACTGGTCTCCCAGAGAAACCACCTGGATCAAAGAATATCAACGAGGCAAGTATGTCATGACTAAAGAGATGCATGTGTGTTTTCATTGTGGTAAAAATGGACATAAAATGCATGAATGTCCAGCTAAGAAAATTAGTGCTAATAAGAACAGCAAGGGTGTAAAATATGTATGGAGAAGAAAGGATCAACAAGATGTTAATGTTGTTGAAAAGGGACCCAAGTATGTTTGGGTTCCTAAAACTAATGTTTGATTTGCTCTTGCAGGCTAGAGTGAAGGGAGACACCTATTGGTATTTGGACAGTGGTTGCTCAAGACACATGTCCGGGGATAAAGATCAATTCCTTTCACTAGTGGCCTTTGATGGAGGAAGTGTCACCTTTGGGGATAACAGCAAGGGAACCATCACTGGTTTAGGTAAGGTTGGTAAGACACTTTCTAACGCAATAGATGATGTTTATTATGTTGAAGGCTTGCAACATAATCTCTTGAGTATTTCTCAATTATGTGACAAAGGTAATATAGTTGAGTTTCAAGCCAACCTATGTCACATAGTTAACTCACAAACAGGAGAACTTGTATGTGAGGGAACCAGGAAGCATGATGTTTACATCACCTTCTTAGATAAAATCCCTCAAGACAAGTCCATCTGTTTGAAAGCTGTTTCTGACAATAATCAATGGATTTGGCATAAGAGGTTTGGACATGCTAGCCTAACACTTCTAAACAAACTTAAAACACGTGACTTAGTTGTAGGCCTTCCTAACATTAAGTATGAAGCTGATAAAGTTTGTTCTGAATGTGTAAGGGGGAAACAGGTCAAAATCTCTTTTAAGCCTAAAACTGTTTTGAGTACCAGCAGACCCTTCGAACTTGTACACATTGATTTGTGTGGTCCCATGAGAGTACAAAGTCGAAGAGGTCATAGATATGTCTGTGTTATGGTTGATGATTATTCTAGGTACACTTGGGTAATGATGTTACACACAAAGGATGAAACGTTTGAAGAATGGGTAACATTGGTGAAACAAGTGGAGAACCAGCTCACCCACAAGCTGGTCTCGGTAAGATCAGACCATGGTACTGAATTTGATAATGCTAACTTTATTGATTATTGTAGGGAACATGGAGTTAATCACAACTTCTCAGCCCCTAGAACACCTCAACAAAATGGTGTTGTAGAAAGGAAGAATAGAACTCTTGAGGAGATGGCAAGGACGATGCTCATTGAGAGTGGTCTCCCAAAGAGTTTTTGGGGAGAAGCTGTTGACACTGCTTGCTATATATTGAATAGAGGTCTCATTAGACCAAAGTTAAATAAGACTCCCTATGAACTTCTTAAAGGTCGAAAGCCCAACATTACATATTTTCGCATTTTTGGATGTAAATGTTATGTGCATAATAATGGGAAGGACCAGCTTGATAAATTTGATCCTAGAAGTGATGAGGGAATCTTCCTTGGATACTCTTCT